TGTACAGTCTGCTGTTGTCTTGGAAAGCATGAAAAAATAGCTTATGCCATGACTATTCAAGCAGAAGATAGCAGTGCTACCAACTATGAGGAGAAAAATGGGTGAACAAGGATCAAAGTTATCTAGAAGCACGGGATCTGGTTATAGGATAGGAGTCAAATTCTCATTTGAAAGGTGTGTCTTAAATACAAGAATTCAGCATCTGAAGGAGAACTGTGTGTGAAGAACATAATTAGCTTGCCATTGTGGAAAGAATTTATGTTCTGGTTTCCTCCAGGTATTGAAGCTGAGTAAAATTTGTTTTAATGAGGTTGTTGCAGATCTTGTAGGTAATATGGGGTAACTGTACAAAGACAGAAGTATCCAGCCCTCCTTTATCTTCTCTGGTAGTTTGCTCTTTCAGGTGTTTTTGCTAATGGTCTGTGTTATGCATCCAGCCCAGTGAGGCTGGTTCCTTTCTTGTCTCCTTTCACACCCGCTTCTCCCTGTCTTATATGTGTGATCTGTATCTTCTGTGATGACACAGTATTGTTCTAGGCTCTACATGGCAGCTAGCTCTAAGCTTGCATAGTCAGTTCCAAAACCATAGGAAAATAGTGGATAAATAATTCTAAACTGTCGTTGACATGGTTTAACCATGGCTGGCAATTAAGTATCATACGGGTGCTCTCTTTCCCCCCCCCGCTCCTGTGCCAGTTGGGAGGAGAATTACAAAGAAAAGGTAAGCCTTGCAGGTTTAGATAAGAACAATTTAATAATTGGAAAAAACCCACCACCACTCTGATAAATAACTAGTTGGAAACTGGGTGTTACCATTTGTTGTGTTTGTGCATAAGGTAACCAGTCACACAGTGTTTTATCTGCTAAGAACCACTAAAAATGATTTCAGGTATTATTTCAAAAGAATACTTAGAAGGTTTATTATGCAACTGCATCAGTAATAAAAACCAAACAGTGTATATAATCACTGTGCAAAGAGCAGGTCTTTCATTATCTCTTAGTGTTGAGAAGAGAAAGAAGAATTTTTTTTTCTTTGATGTAGAAGGAGGTTGCTTTATTTGTTTTTCACTTTTTCTTTTTCTTCCCCTGAAGTTTCGGGGAATGCTGGATTCCCCATCACAAGTTTTATCCCAGTTTTCTCCTACTGTCTTTGACAACTGAGTGTTTATCCAGTTCTCTGACCTTCATATCAAAAGCATTTTTCATGGAATACATTTTTGCATCCTATCCCTAGTAGATAACAAATCCTTACTAGTCATATATGTAACTGGGAACTGTAACTCAGATTTTTCTAAGGTATTGTCTCTTCCTGAAGCAATTATTTAGTCCCTGGTGATAACTACCTTTGCATTCAAAGAGTTACTTGCTACTCCTTCTTTTAAGGTTTGTATAAAAATGCTCAAGTTTGTGTCTGTGTGGATCAGAGATCTGGATTAATATCTAATAAAATTAAATAAAAGAACCCTTAGTTGATGAAAAGATGTGAAGGCCTATTAGAGGTAGTGATTGAGCCAAGTGGTTGGGCTTTTTTCCTCCCTTTTTTTTTTCAAGAGTTTTTTCTTATAAAATCATAGATTAGTTTGTGTAGTAGGGGACCTTTAAAAGTCAATGTGCTGGTTTAAGAGTCAACCAGCAGGGGAAATGAACTCAACTCAAAGGAGAGACCACAAGTCAGAATAACAATTTATTAAAACAACACAGCAAGCACAATCACACAAACAAACAATTGGTCCTAACCCACAAAACCCACATGTACAACCCAGTACCCTGGGGCATGAACAAAGTGGTGTTCCCTGGGCCCCGCTTGAGCCCAAAGTAAAGGGAGAGGGGAAAAACCTGCTGGTGGGAGAGCTGTTGCAGTCTGGTCAGAAGCGGTGATTGCAGTCCAGCTGAGGTTGAGAGCGATGAACTGCAGTCTTCCTTCTGGATCCCACGAGTGGTTGCAAAAGTTCTGAAACTCCAGGTTTATATATTCTCCAGTTCAGGCAGAAATGGTCAATCTTTCCCTCAGAGCGGGGAGTTCCATAAAAGGCTCAGAGCGGGGACTTCCATAAAGGGTGTGAGGACAAGAGCATCCTCCTATCTCACAGGCCTCTTAACACCTAGTTTATAGCCTGAGGAGTCAGGCTCTATGGGCGGAGGGTGTGAATAGTCTATTGACAACAGTTTCTGGGAAATGGCATGGAAGGCTATAGAATACACAGTTTTGGGTTAAACCCATACCATGATGAACTGATCTCAGCTGTCCTAACTAGGACAGTCAAATAGTCCAATCCCACTTGCCTTGAGTAGGGACCTAATGAACTAGATCAGGTTGCTCAGAGCCCAGTCCAACCTTACCAGGGAGGGGTCATCTACCACCTCTCTGAGCAACCTGCTTTAGTGTTTCACCACGCTCATCATAAAATAATTCTTCCTTATATCTAACCTGGGTCTACGCTCTTTCAGTTTAAAACCATTAGCCCTTGTCCTGTCTCTACAGGCCCTGTTAAAAAATCTGTCCCCACCTTTCCTTTAAGTACTGAAAGGCCACAGTGAGGGATCCCTGGAGCCTTCTCCACTCCAGGCTGAACAACCCTGACTCTCTCAGCCTTTCCTCCTAGGAGGAAAATCCTCTGAGCAGTTTTGTCGCTCTCCTCAGGACCTGCTCCAACAGGTCCATGTCTTTCTTGTGCTAAGGGTGGTAAGGTTTCATGATAGTAGAGTAGAGGGGGAGAATCACCTCCCTTGACATGCTGGTCAGAGTTCTTTTGATGAACCAACCAGGATATGGTTGGCACGTTGATGGGTCATGTCCAGCCTCTCACCCACCAGCACCCCCAAGTCCTTCTCTGCAGGTCTGCTCTCGATCCATGCATCCCCCAGCCTGCGCTGATAACAGGGGTTGCCCTGACCCAGCTGCATCACCGTGCACATGACCTTGTTGAACTTCATGAGGTTCATGTGGGCCCACACACATGATGTCGGGGCTCCATATAGCGATACTGGGGAAAAATATCCAAGAATCCTGTCAGGGAACGGGAATTAATTGACAGCTTTGTGCAACTAACGATGGGGACCGTATTGCAAAGCACTCAGGATTTAGGAGCAGAGGAGCAGTTCCAGCAGGAAGAGAGAGAAGTCTCCCAGAAGGAAACAAATCACAATGCAGAGGAAGAGCACTGTTTTAACAGGTGTTACTGAATAGCTGTTCACAGGGACTCACACCCACATGCACGCAAAAATTTGCTTATTTTTCTCCATGGCTGGACTCTGCTTCTGCATTGCCACATTCTTATCATTTTGTCCCTTCTAGAAAATGAACTCTGCTGTTTCCTAGAGCACTTTAGGATACTGTAGAACTATATGAGAATGGTATAGGAGTTTAACTTTGACATAAATTTGTAAAGATGTTTTATGGAAGAGTTTTTGAAGAGAACTTGAGAGTTTTGAAGAGAACAGAGATACTATCATATCTCTGAAGGATATGAAAAGGATACAGTTCTTTTTTAAAGATTTGAATAAATGCTTTGCAGCATAAATTTGACACAATTGAAATATACAAGCAAATAAAATACACTTATGAAATTTAAGTGTATGTGAAGAAACAAGTCATGTTAGTTTCAGCCTTTCTTTCTGTTCTTTGTCATCTAACTATGAAAAACATTAGTATTCTCAATGGCATGTGAATCCTTGTGCTTTTGGAACATGGACATCATTTGTGACTATTCATTGGTCACAGCTGAACTTGATCAGCAAACATACTCTGGGGACTCGTTTTTTTTGGCTCTTCGTGGATATCATTGCTGGATTTTTTCCTAATTGAATGCTAGGTTTTTTTCTTCCAGAGTAAAGGAAAGAAAGGAACATTCACCTAGGTGCCTGTTCTCCAAATAAATGTTAAGTGGCATTGCTGGCATGCTAACATGACGTTCCAAAGTGTATTGTGAGAATCTGACTGTTGTGCTCTTGGTTTTTTTGAGGGCCTTCTCTTCAGAGAAGGACCTGCAAAATTTTCCGCTGTTACATGAGTTGTCTTTTATTGTAAGACACATACATAAAGGGTATTTATTGGGAAATGACTCTGACCAGTATTACTGTTTCAAATGCCACTAAAACAGGAATGGTTGTACATTATGTTCAGAAAAAAATTGGTTGACGTATTTATTTATGTACTCTGAAGCTGTAAGAGCTCTTGTAGCATGTCTTGTCTGTGGTGCATATGAGCACTCCTTTCTACAAATAAACCCAGGCTTCTCCGAGGAGAAGGATAGTAGCAGAGAGCATTAGGCAGATACCCTCCAAATAACGTCATCAACATTATTTTCACAGAACTCATCCACGTCATTTAAAATTAATGTTCATTCAAAATAACGTAGACCAATTAAAAAGATTGTGCTGAAGTAGATAGACTTTTCTTCTCACCAAGAGAGGAAGGAAGAAAAGAGCTTTGCTTTGTGGACTGTAGTGCCTGTCACAGTGTTGATAAAACACCCTGAAGTATTCAGAACACTAGTAGTGCATAGACCCATTAGGGTGTAGCAGCACTTGATTCTTCTCTTCCGTCTGATAGTAGGGAATAATTAAGTTTGGAATATGTCACTCTGCGTTTGATCTTCTGGTTGTGGGGAGCTGATGAACAATTTGTGTGATCAGTGTTACTTCTAAAAACTGAGTTTCTTACGTACGTTAATTGAGACAGTGGATTTTTTTGAATGTGTGCTCTGGAAGTACTTGCATGGTCCAGTGACTTTTCAAAGTAGAAAATGTGGTGGAAAATTAGCCTTTTGGAGAATGTACTACTGTTATTTGCAGCAAAGTTTATTGTGAAAGCAAGGATGCTAAGCCCTGTTCTTTTCGTTGATTGCTATTAAATATAAAGCTTTTTAAACCTGACATGTACACTAAATGCACTTGTGGAGTTTAATCTGTTCTGTTTGCTACTGCTGGATTTTTTTTAAACTTTTGAAAATTCTTTGACATTCAAGTAAAAGAAAATAACCTTTTCCTTTTTACCACAGATCCAGACGTTTAATGTTGAGGCACCATGCCAGACCGTGGAAGATTTAACGAGTGGGGTTGTGATGGCCCAGGTTCTTCAAAAAATGTAAGGAATTGTTTACTTAATGAACTAAGTTTTATTATTCGTACATTTTTCTGTATTTACATGTGTTTTAGTTCAGTCTTGGCTGGTATTCCATAAGGATGTGGCTTTTCCTATGCTTAGATGGTACTTGAAACTGGAACATGACTAATATGATTTTTCTCTGTAGTTTTCAGATAACTAGCTTAAATGAAAAAAAAAAAAGTTTTGTTTTAGGGAGATGTTTATTCGAGGTGAACTTAGTGAAAATAAGTTGGATTAAAACTAAACTTACAGATTCACACTTAAAGTTGAAACCAGTGCAAGATGAGGTAACTGGCCCTGATCATTGCTTGAAACTGCAGTCAGTGATGTTAGAATTAGTTTCATGCAATAAAACTTCTGTGATAAACTGAATGGAACTGTCAGTTTAGTGATGCACAGTTGGAAGTACTTGTCTTTTAGTTTGTTTCCACTACCTCTTGCCTGTTCACTGGACACCACTGAGATTATGTGAGGGTATAAAGAAGGAACCATCAGGCTATTTATACACAGGATTGGTAAGATCCCACTGAGCCTTCTCTTCTTGAGGCTAAAAGAACAGAACAGCTCACTCAGTCTCACCTCGTATGACAGATCCTGCAGTCTGTTAATCATCTTATTTGCCCTTTGCTGAACTTTGTATGTCCGGGTCCCTCTCACACTGGAGAACCCAGGATGCAACACTTCAGATGTAGTCTTACCAGACCTGAGTAGTGCCTCCCTTGGCCTGCTGCCAATGATCTTCCCAACACAGCCCAGGTTGTCGTTGGCCTTCTTTGCTACAAGGACATGTTGCTGGAGCATTTTCAGCTTGATTTCTACCCAGCTTCTTGTTTGCAAAGCTGCTTTCCAGCCAGTTGGCCCCCAGCATATACTGGTGTATGGTGTTTATTTGCATGTACCTTTGTGAAATGTGTAAGGTTTCTGTCAGCCTGTTTTTCCAGCTCGTCACATTCCTCCTAAATGGCAGCACAACTATCAGGTGTATCAAACACTCCTTCCGTTTTTACATTGTATGACAAATTTCCCTCTGTTCCATCATCTGGGTCCCTATTAAAAACATTTAACAGTATCAGCCCCTTGGGTAGGCTGCTAATAGCCTGGGCTCCAGCTGGATTTCATGCTTCTGCTCATAAACCTTTGAGCCTGGCATTTCAGCCATTTTTCAGCCCACCTTGCTATGCACTTACCCAAGTTGTGCTTCATCAGTTTGTCCAGGATGATGTTATCCTGCTCAGGCAATCTGTAGCAGGAATATATAACAATGTCACTTATCTTGGTCTGCTTGATCATCCTGACCCATAATTTCTTAGCTGGCTCATACCCATCTGAAGACAGAGCTCATGCATTCCCACTGCTCTCTCACATGAAGGGCATCTCCCTTGTCACTGCCTTCTCAGCTTGTTCTTCCTAAAGAGCCTGTATGCATTCGTGGCAGCAACCTTGTCATGGGAGCCATCCTACCATGTCTTCATGATCCCAGTGAGACTGTGGCCTTGTAACTACATGCAGAGCTCTGTTTCTTCCTGTTTGTTCTCCATGCTGCATGCATTAGTGCACAAGCACTCCACATAAGCATCCAGCCTTGCTGAGTCCCAAGAATGAAGCTTTCCCTGGAGTGTTTTTCTGTAGGCCTCTCCTCATTTATGTGCATATGCTTGGGGTGATCCCTCTTCACCCAGCCCTGTTTTGTTGACTGTGAGGTATCTCTTGTTCACATTGTCCCACATTCTTTGTTTTTCAACAGAGTCCACTACTTTGTCACTAAATGTTCCTTTCTCTATTTTTCCTTCTACAAAACTGGTCCAACCAGGTTGGCCAGCCTGTTGGTGAAGATGCATTTGCCCACCACAGTCAGGTGGATCCCATCTCTTCGAAGCAGTCCTTGATTCTCAAAATGATTCAGTGGCCATCGAAACTAAAACCTTGCCAACAGCAGTTCACAGCTGGTTGTTGACCTGCAGGATCTGTCTGTTCCTCAGAACCCTCTCACTGACTGAGGCAGCTGGGAAGAACATCAGTTGAGCCTTTGCCATAGCTTCGAAAGCCACATAATCACACTGTACTTTCCAGGTTTCCATAGCTGTACAGCTTGTGCCAAGATGGAAGAGCAGGAAGAGTAATTGTGTAAGAGCTGGACAAGCTTTGGCAGTCTTTCAACAATGCCAGGAATTCAAACCCCTAGCAAGCAGCAACCCTTCTTAGATGGTGTTAGTCAGAAGATCAGGGTCCTCCATTGTGCTAGCTCTTGCCCCTCCCCTCTTGTGTTGCAGCATGGCTCAGGTTTGTTGGACACAGATGGTTTGTTTGACAGAGCTCCTGACACCTTAACTGCTGTGAGGACACTGAATCTGTTCTGTAGGTTCAGATCCTCAGGAGCAGGAGCCTTACTGCTGGTGAGAGAAGTTCACAGGAAGAATAAAAGGGGGACAAGAGGAAGTCTCCATGTAGTCAGATATTTCAAAGCAACACTTTTAAGCATGTGGTTCTGAGATAGTGTTTTCAATTGATGAAGTGATGTTTCAAAAACAGATGTGAAATACAAATATTGCATTTCTGTAGCATGATTTAAAAATATTTCCTATGACAACTGCAGTACTGCCACTGAACACAGAAATTCTTTACTTTGCGCAGTTTATATAGTAATGATCACCTAAACAATTTATAATTCTTTCTTTATGCCTTAGGTAATGATTTGAACCTGACAAAATTAGTGTTTGACTATCTTACTTTCTGATAGTTGTGTTTTAGATTTAACATTTTGCTTACTTGTGTAATGGATACGGAGAATCTCATGCAGCAATTTAGCAACAAATATTTCTAAATCTTGTTTTAATTCTTGTTGAGATAAACTTTGAAGAGCAACAGCAATCTGATCTTGGATTGTACAATAGGAATCACAGAATATGGTGAGTTGGAAGGGACTCACGGGGATCATCGAGTCCAAGGATGATGGCCTGAAAGAGTCACACCATGTGCCTGAGAGTATCATCCAAATGCTTCTTGAACTCTGTCAAGCTTGATGCTGTGACCACTGCCCTGGGGAGCCTGTTCAGTGCCCAACCACCCTCTGGGGGAAGAACCTTTTTCTAATATCCAACCTAAACTTCCTCTGACAGAACCTCAGGCCATTCCCTCAGGTCCTGTCACTGGTCACCACAGAGCAGAGATCAGTGCCTGCCCCTCCTCTTCCCCTCCCAAGGAAGTTGTAACTGCAATGAGCTCTCCCCTCAGTCTCCTCTTCTCCAGCTGAACACACCAAGTGCCCTCAGCTGCTCCTCACATGGCTTCCCCTCAAGGCCCTTCACCATCTTTGTTGCCCTCCTTTGGACACTCTCTAACAGCTTCATATCCTTCCTGTATTTTGGTGCCCCAAACTGCCACAGTATTCCAGGTCAGGCCGCCCCAGGTCAGAGCAGAGCTTGACAATCCCCTCCCTCACCCGGCTGATGCTTTGCCTGATGCCCCCAGGACAGGGTTGGCCCTCCTGGCTGCCAGGGCACTGCTGACTCACATTCAACTTGCCATCAACCAGGACCCCCAGGACCCTTTCTGTGGCACTGCTTTCCAGCCTCTCATTCCTCAGTCTGTATGTTAATATATGAACAATCTTTGGGGGAAAGTATTATTGCTGCCTTTTTTTTTTTTTTTTTTAACCAGAAAAGTAGAAGATAAACAATGTGTAATAAGAAGTGTAACAGAAGATTGGTCTAATTGATTTTTGAAGTAGGGTTGCAGAATAGCCAAACATTGTCTGTTTTCCTGGATGTGAGAGATTGGAATATAGGTCAGATACAGGGATCAGCATTTGTATAGCTGAATAGAAAACTAATCAGGAGCGTGTTGACAAAGCCATTTTAAGTATTCTTTCTTTAAAACAAAAACAAATTCAACCCTACCAATGGAATCCTCTTTATGCTTCTTTGAAAAGATACCACAGGAAGAATGTGTAGGGAATTAGGGAATGTTCAACAATTTGAAGCAAGTCTAGAGCAGGCTTTTGCAGTCTACCCTTCTTTTTATGTAAGAAGCACTGGGAGGTAGAGAAATGTGTAAGAGCAAGACTTAAGGTTATTTGGAAAAGTCATGCAGTGACATTAAATAGCAAAGAGCAAGCACAGCCTGAAAGCACCAGATCACTGCAAACCTCTCATTTGCAGTGAAAACTTGAACACTTGTCTTTCACATGAAAATCTGTCAAAAGGGTGATCTTCAAAGGGCAAGTTTATCGTCTTGGCTGCAGACACAACAGTGAAGTGCTGTTACTTTTATTCCATTGAGGAGGGTAAAGTACTATTTTTGTAATTCGTGTTCCTTGGAAATTGGGTGTTTTTCAGCATAGCTGCCTCCTATTTGAGTCTCTTTATCAGTATGTGTTCTTTGAGCCTACTAGTATTAAGAGGTTAATTAGGTAAAGGCTGAAATAGCAGATTAATATATCCAGTGAGAATTTAAAAAAAAAAGTTCATTAGGAATGAAGAAAATATTGTCAATGAAGAAATCAAATTAAGTGAGGCAGAGCAGTGATGAAAATTTAAAGATATTGGGGTGGTCCAGTGATCTGGATGTATTTCCATAGGAGAGTGAGGATTTTTAGGTTCCGGAAAACCTAAAAAATTGAAAGTGAACTGTATTATTTCTGTTTTTTTTAACCTCTACCTTAATAGGAAGAGTTCACTGGTACTTATGAGGAGAGGAGGTAGTAGTTTATCGTAAGGAACAGTTTTTGAGAGAGCCCTAGTTTGGGGAATTTGTTGTTTTAGACATAGAGAAAATGTGCACTATAAAGAACTGTAGGATTTATTGTCAGTAAAATTAAAAAGGAGGAACACTGCTTATTCATCAGCTGATAAAAACTAGCTGTGCCTTGTGCCAAGTGTTCAGAAGGGGCCAAAAGCTTCTTCCATTGTTCTGAATTCTTTTGTACATAGTTCTCAATATTTTTTGGATTCAAAGTAGCAGCCCATTTGTAGGTAAGGGCCATTCAATCACAACAAATATATCAGAATTCCTTGTAGCAAAGCTGCTGCAAGAAAGGAAGAGAAGGTTGCAGCAGAAATTACTAACCCCTTCAGAAGCTTTTCACTTCTAATGTAGTATGTGGTAGAAAATGGCAGAAATGTGTTCTATGTAACCAAGCATGAGCATTCTGCTTACAGTCTCAGTTGTTAATAAAGTTATTGGTAAATCCCTGAGGGACATTTTCTTTCTTTATAGCATAAACCTTTATCTTCAAATTTCAGGTTAAGGTACCATCGAATGAAATTCTCCAGTGCTGACTATATTGTCTTGGAGGAGGAAAATCAGCCTAAGCTTTAGCTTACTTTTTTGTGTGTTATTCTGTAAGATTCACTGTTTGTTTGTTTTCAGATGTGAAGGTTATTGGTCCTGACTAGCAGTGGTATGAAATACAGTAAGATAAGATGTCTGTACATAATCAGTGTTGATGATTATTTTACAGAGTGTTGTTGTATTCCAGGAGAAAGATTGGAAGCAAAAGATGTTTAAACTGTCTATGAGTAGACTGTCTGCCTAAAATCATGTAGCTTATGCTGGTAGAAGTGCCATAGCTTGCTTCTGAGTTGCATCCTTATTTTCTTTCTTTCTTTCTTATTTTTAGCCTTCTCAGATGTTCCTTATGTTTTTACTGTCCACTGGTATCCCTAGGACAGCATAATTTCCTGTTTTATACTATGCTTTAAAATTTTCCTTTCATCTCACTCTGGAGACTGTTTAGTACCAGGTGTCCCTCTTGTTTTGATTCTCCCTTCCTGTGTCATACTGGCCTTGGTAAATGTAAGAGATGGTATGTATTTTCATCTGTGCATCGTGTCCTCTTAATGAATTATTCATTTGATATATTATACATTGCAGCACACTGTGTATGTTTTGACACATGCAGAACACAAAAGCCATGCTAATACATTATTGCTGGGGGAGGGAATTTTTTGTAAACAGACATTTCTTGAAGCGGTTTACTGTACCACTGTCAAAATGAGTAATAATCATGAGTTATAGTACATGCTCTGTGGGTTGGTTTTCTTCAGAAGAGTATTTCTGTCTCTTGGCATCTGTGATATGGAGAGATGACTGCTTAAATAAAGGAAAATTTGCATACAAAATAAGATGGAGATGGTATAAATGAGCACTGCTGAAAACATCACATGAAGTGATAGAGCATTATCAACAGTGCTCTGAAGAAAAGTCCCAATTATCTACAGTACTGTTCAGATACTAGGCAGTAATCAACTGATACACAAATACCTTTCTAAACCTGAAAAGTTATCCAGTGCAAGAGGTGGTCTAAGTTTGGATCTAGGCTCAGAAACTTACTGAATTCAAAGTACTTGGTTCGTGAACGAGTCATCTCCTGGTAATGGTGATGTTCCATCCACTGCCCTTGTTTAGTGCAGTGATTCTTCAAAATGAGATGGCAAGTTTAGCTGCACAGTTCTCAACACACATTTTTTGTATTTCCTTAGGTGATGCCTTTTTCAAACACCATAAGAATGACACTGTTGTTTTCTAATGACACAGACTAAGGCAGTTAAAAAATTCTGAATATGATTGAATCCTGATTCCCAAAAGTTTAGCTGAGAAAAACTTGTTTGCAGCAAGGACTGTGAATGACCTAACATCTAGAAGCCCCTTTTAAAAAGTATGTGTAGAAATCCTTGTGGAATAGCTTTTATTTCAGATTTGATTTCCAATTGTTTGATATATAGAGAAAGCATTTCTGTTGGTATTAATCATGAACTTTAATTGGACTTTCAAAGACAGAAATGAAATTATAGGGGCAGGTGATTTATTTGAAGGAAGGAATGGTCTCTGTATTGTCTTGGTGTTGATACCCAACCTGTTGCTTATCTGCTTATTGTATTCCTGGCAAAGTGTTTTTCCAGTACACAACTAATTATTGTGTAACCTGTATGAAGATTCTCTAAGGGCAGTTTTTGGTGCTATTTTGACAACTGTTATGTGGGCATGATTTTGAATGGGTTGCCTGTGAGCTGCTGGACCCTTGGATGCTTCCGTGGGATTTGTATACATAAAAGTAAAAAAACCAATAGGCTCTGTGGAAGAGGACTGCCACACTGAGCTTAGATTTAATTCTCAGGGACCTTCCTTACGTATGTCTGATGACATATGTAAAGGTTTAGGTAGCCTATGACTCCCATCAAGACTGTAAAAGGTGGTTGCTGATCCATGTGTTATTTTTACAGTAGTAACTGAGATAAAACTGCCTGTTTTCTTTTCCTGAGGCTTCCTGAGTGGAGTGAGTTAGATCTAACCCTGTAATTAACAGCTGATGCTGTTATTGATGCCCTTATTGTTGCAAATTGGGTATGCAATATCAGCTGTCCAGTCAGTCCAAATATAATTTTCCTTGTGAGAGATATTGTTTATGCTTAGCCATGTTGCTTCTTAGAGTCATTATTTAGCATGAAAATGGTGAGTCAATTTTCATGGCACTGCGGCCTTGAAGTAGCTGGAGATGTAAGTGATCAAGTGCAACCTTTAAAATTATAAGATACAATCCTTAAGAAAGTCCTGTTGATCTTTTTTGCTGATGAAGCACAGGTAATTAGTCATACCTGCTTTCTCAGCCACATGAACATTTTGTAGTTGTGAGTCTGTTTTTAAGCCGGGCTTACTTGTGTGTTGTGAATTCCCAGAAGACCCATTTATTTGAGAGATAGTAGGGTGGTTTTTGAACTCCACACCTAAAATGGGGCTTGAACTTGCATGTTTTTTCATTACTGTGCAGGTGATTTTGTTGTGATTGAGTGGAAGTTAGGCAAATTAAGACTTTTTAACTGAGGCTTTTTGCAAGGAGAGCTAATTGTTTCATGTGAAAGCTGAATGTGAACCTTCTTCATATGTTGTAGATCTTACATGTATTTCTATCAATTTTATTTTTAGCTTTACTTGTCTTCTCATGGCAGAGAGGCCATTGAAAGCTATTTGAGAACATTTATTTCAAAACCAGGTGAAACTCTGGATAAGACATTGCTTTTTCTATTTAATAGTTTGATTATGTCACCCATGCTAGAACTGTACTGTTTTAGAATGGAAATAATTTGGAGACATCAATTTAACTAGTAATTAAAGCTGTTCTTCCAGATATATGTTTGCTGGTGCCATATTAAAGGAAAGGAAATATATTGTAATCATCACCAGAAGATCTGTAACAAAATGTGTAAAAATAGCAGTGGGAATGTATCAGTAGAGAAACATTGCTGTCTGTGATCTTTCTCCATTGCTGTGTATTGTAAATGTAGTACTGCTTGCAGACCTTGGTGCATTGTGAAGACATTGTGGGAAAGGTGGAATACAGGAGATGCTGGGCATCAGGTATGAAGTGTGGCTGCAAAGTCTGTGCCCCAATAAAGTACTGGTGTAATTGCTGGTTTACAGTATGTATGATATAAATGTTATTTCACTCTCCAGGCATGTTCAGAGGTTTCTTGAACTTTTGCCAAGAGGTCTCATGGCATCTTACCCCTAAAAAAAGAGCTCAGTCCAGAACCCTTCTATCTGTAGAGGGTACAGCAGTAAATCTAATAGTACTCAGTGGAAAATGCAGAAGTATGAGTCCAGAAAAATAGAATATTTCATGTGGAAGTGTCACCTGGCCTACCACACTGACTCTTAAGAGCCTTTTGCTAATAAAAAAATAGAAAAGGTGAGCTTTTTTTTTTTTCGCTCTGAACTGTATTATCTTTATATGTTGGATGAAATATGAGCCATTCCTTATATTATATTGACCTACTCCTTTAACTCTTCTCACTGCAGCATATGTAGTGTTCAGTCTCAAGCTTTTCATTTAAAAGTTGAGTAGTAAGCAGTGTACAGCAGTAGGGATCCATAATATGTGGAAAAGTATTTATTTTTAACACTTTCCAGGAGTGCAACTAAATGTTACTCCAGCACCAGAGGAGAAATTAGAGGTAGGATTTATGGAGGAAAAAGCGGCATAATACGTTCCAAGTACAGCAGCTTTGTCAAAAGCATTAATTACCCATGGCACACAAATGAAGCTATGCCATCAACAGGGTGCAAGGTCTTAGAAAAATGAGTAGTAACAGGATTCTGAACTACTATATTCAGGAAACGTGTCAGACAGAAGAGGTAGTCATTTAAATGACCTCAAGCCTGAGATTGGGGCTTAATGACTAAGGTGTACTCACAGTTTCTCTAACCTGTTTTTAATGAATACTCTACACTCTTTGTGTTTCAGAGACCCTGCTTACTTCGATGAAAATTGGCTGAACAGAATCAAAACAGAAGTAGGAGATAATTGGAGGCTGAAGGTATTTGAATTACTTTGCTTGTCTGCGAATCTCTATTTCACTTCTTAATACAGTATTGTGCCTAAACACTAGCATATTTCCAGATTAGGACCTTGCTTTATAGTACATAATTTTGAATTTTCAACTGTTTTAGTTACACTTATTTGATTTTAAATTTCTTATGTTGTTTTAGTACTGCACAGTTTAGCAAAGAAAAGACATTTTGAACTTGTAAGTAGGTTTCAATGATTTAAAAGGAAAATATTAAAATAAATTTTATGCATCAATTACCTCTCTTGTTTTTCAGATGTTGAATGAAAGATTTTTCTTTTTAATGCACAGTGTGAAAGTAGCTTTAAAAAAGGAGCTCTGAGAAGCAGCTGCATAAAAAGAGGAGCTTAATAAGCAATATATTTAAAGAAAAATGTCAAAGTGTTTCTTCCTTTTACTTTTTCAGTTCTGCAGAACTGCTGAGCTTTAGGAGAGGAAGTTGCGTTTTTTCTGTGTTTCTACTCAGCATGGTTTTCCACCACAGTCTTTTTGCTGGGTCATTTGTATCACTTGGCATTCTAGTACTTTCTCTGCAAACCTTAAGGCAATCAAGTTTCCAGTTCTATGACTGAGGAACATTTTGCTTTAGAACCCAAAGAACACAGTTTGTACATGCAGATGGTAGTGTAGTTTCTGAGTAGTTTTGCTCAGAGAGTGATCTATGCACCTTTCTGAATTTCCATTTTTAACCTGACTAGTTGGGAAAACAGAGCAGTTATGGTTTGACTGTTAGTTCATGTTTCCTGTGTTCCAGCCACCAAAAACCATTCTGAGCATCTCAGGAATGGCTACAGCTGTGAAATGCTTTAGTACTTGCAGGCTTGTCAGCATCACTGGCTGAATTGCCTGAGACAAAGATGGAGCACACTGCTGCTGTGTATGTTTTGATTTAGTCAGTAGACCTATCGGCATGGTCTGTGCTGTCTGGCCAGCTGTGTGCAAGTCTGGAATGCTTTAGAATGTTTTGTCTAGTAGGGCTGCCAGCAAAAATGTGGGTAAATTGATGAGGATATATTGACTGACTGATGAATAAAGGACATCATCCCTAAAAAAGCTTTAAAACTCTTTTGAGTTCTGCTGCATGTAGAGCAGTTCATTTAAATGACCTTTCCAAAGAAGTGTATGGAATTGCAAGTGAACAGCTGGATACAAGATTTTACTTTTCTGTAAAATATTTCTTTGGGTTTTTTTTATAAGTATTAATTTTTTAAGTATTTCATATTGAAGTCTTCACTGTTAAATGTGGAGAACAACAAATTGAGAACTGTTTGTTATAATAGCATTTCAGCTGATTGAAAGCAGAGCAGCAGCTTCTGTAGCTGTCATATGGAGCTTGAGGAATAAATATTTTTTTATGTCTCCCACCAATTTGGCAGATGCAAGGCTTAGCAGGTGTGAAAAAAAAAAAAAAGCTGAGCAATCTAGTAACTTCCTTATGTGACTGACAGTGGAAAAACATCGGGTCAAATTTCAGTTTCTTTCTGATGTCATTCCATCTTGTTTTTCATGTATCTATGTAAACAAGAACTAAAGACTTATTATTTTTTTGTTTAAAAAAGATGTATAATCCAGCTTTTTGTACAGCACTTCCCTTTTCATGAAGAATACTAGAAGACATAAGTGTGATACTTTAACTCTTATTTTTTTAACCAGAAGAGTAATCCTATACTTTGCCAAGTGTTCTTCTTTATATGTGAGTAAACATTATTAGTAGATGTCTATCAGCCAATCAGTCATTTATAGTCTGGCTTGTGGGAACACTTCAGTCTGTGCATTTCTATTCATAGAATCATTTAGGCTGGAAAAGACTTTTAAGATCATCAAGTCCAACTGTTAACTCAGCACTGCCAAGTCCACCACTAAACCATGTCCCCAAGTGGCACATCTAAATACCTCCGGGGACGGTGGCTCCACCACTTCCTTGGGCAGCCTGCTCCAGTGCTACATAACCTTTTTGGTGAAGGATTTTTTCCTAATAGCCCATCTAAACTTCCCCGGGTACAACTTGAGGCTATTTCCTCTTGTCCTGTCACTTGCTAATTGGGAGAAGACTGACCCCCCCACATCACTGCAGCCTTCTTTTAGGTGTGTGTTTGTTACTAGATTTAACATGTAGACAGCATACTTGAGTGACTCCATATTGTAGATTTCCTTTCATGTTTTAAGAAGTGCCATGAGAATTGATAACTGGATTACCTCACTGCCTCACAAGTCGTGATAATGACTGCATTATATTCCTTTTGCTGAACACAGTCACTCTTTGCCTCTGACACCATATGGTATAATAATCACCACATGTACAAGCTCTCAGTGAAGGAGCCAGTCTGGGAGGGGAACATATATAAAAACAATCCAAAATGTAGCGTGCAGGTAGTTCTGCTTTGTGAAACTGTGGTTAGGAGGGCCTGCAGAGGTAAGTGTAGGCCTGATACAGCCCTCCTAATCACTGTTGATAGAAGTACTCAGAAAATGATAGAATCATAGACTTATTAAGCCTTGGAAAAGACATTTAAGATCAAATCTAACTGTCAACCTAGTGCCACTACCATGTTCACCATTACAATGTGTCCCCAAATGCCATATCTGCATATTTTTTGAACACTTCCAGGGATGGTGACTCCACCACTTGGCTGAGCTGTCTGTTCCAATGTTCTGCAACACTTTCCATGAAAGTTTTGTCCTGATATTTAATCCAAAATTCCGCTGGTGCAACACTGGGCTATTTCCTCTTGTCCTGTCCTGCCCTGTCACTTGTTACCTGGGAGAAGGTAATGAGTGATGTGATTATTAATTTTAAATTGTGTGTTGTCCTGTATGGAGAATAACAAGAATATATGCCTCAACTTTCATTATTTTTTTTGTTTAGCAGTTCATTTTCTGATAATTGCAATAATGCAGTCATTAAAAATATTTTTCCTGTTGCTGTACCAGTTTAAAAGAAATGGATAAATTCACAAGGATCTTTTTATGTTCTTGGTTTCAGGGCAAGTTGCCAGACTTGAGAGATTAAGAAATGCACAGGATAGAAAAAGGGAAATGTTAGAACTCGGGGGACTTGCAAAGTAGGAACCATTCAGCAAACATTCTAGTTTTTACATCTGACCAGTGTTTGTTTAGTAGAGAACCGTGTTACTTCTTCAGGGTTGCATACATCAGCATGCAGAACAGTTTGTGTCGTCCTTTGGGCAACAAAGAAACTTACTTTTCATCTGCAATTTTATGATGGTTAAAAAAATAAAAGGCAAACCCATTATCTCTTTCATTATGTACAACTGAACGCTTTAATATAGTCAGAGTTTAAATTGTGTACGACCTAGCATTTCATGCTGAAGAGGATGACATCTTGAACATAAAACCTTTATTGAAAATGGAAGACAGCATAGAAAGGAATTCTGTTGCTAAAATTTTCCAGGAATGAAATTCCTTAATCAAGGTACAAGTTATTGATTTGATACACACATGTCAGTTTTGGCAATTACAGAATAAACTGTTGACTGTCTGAGGTATGGGATAAAATTGTCACCCCTTTTTTCCTCCCCTTCTATTCAGTGTGGGAAGCTTGGGAAAGGAAGGAAATATATTATTTCCTTGATTTTTTGACTTCTGGACTTTTTGCTTTGGCATTCAGACTACAGCATCAGTTTAAAGTACAATTTTATTGATGTATGTAGTACCAAGCTGTGTTTGTTCCAGTACTGAATAGCACGTTCAAACAGCAGGAGCCACTAGACTTTCTGCAACTAGTACTGTTTGAGTGATACCTGTTTGCTATAATATTGCAAAATGGAATAACCAATGAATGCTGCAATCTAAGTAAACAAACATGATTTTTGAGAATTAATTTAGACTCCCTGCAATAGTACAGTTGTTTTTGCTCTGAATTCTTCTACAGTACAAGCTGGCTTGACTGGTGGAGTAGTGGAAGCTAGTTTTCAGTGTACAGCATTGTTTTCCTACTACTTTCTTGTTCTTTTGCAGGGTAAGGAGCACTTATTCATCAGCATCCTTTTAAAGGGTTTTTATCTGTTATGGGTGGAAGCCTGTCATGTGAATGTTTTTTTTTCTTCAAGCAAGAAGCAGAGATTATAGGTGTATTGTAAGCCAGCATTCATTTCTGTCACAAAGATAATTAGCAACTGATATATTTAATTCTCTTTTGATATACCCTTAATTCCTAAGTCAACAGCATCTCCAAATATAAGTTGCATGTGGGACTGCTGTCTGTGTTCAGACCCGCATTTAATTTTTCTTTCCTTGTCAAGGATGTGGCTGTATATGTTCTTTTGGGGATTTGCTTTCTGTAGAAGACAGTCTGAAGGGGGATAGCCCCCAAAGGTAGTGATATAGTCTTTCTCTAGGTTCCATCTGTAATCAGCAATGAGACATGCTTCTGCAAAATGCAGTATAAGTCAGAAACCTAATGTGTGTGGTGGGAACGACGCAAACGATGCATGCACAGGCTCCCTCCCCACCCACACTCCCACACCCACCTATCTCTTCTCACCCCTCACCCCCCTTTTAAGTGCAGATGGGAAGAATGCACCTTAATGAGATATCTGAATTCTTGAAACGCTTGAGAGTGTGCCATAGCAACACTTCCAGAGGTTACTCAGGACCTGAAATAAACAAAAATAAGTCAATTCACACAGGGTCTTCAGCACGAACAGGATTTCAGTCATACTAAGAATAATGCAAAATTGGGAGCTGGCTGTTATAATGTTGGAGAGAAAACAAAAGGTTAGATAACCCATGCCCCCCTTTTGTCAACCATCACAAGCTTAAGGGCATTTTCTGCTGTCCACTTCATCAGGCTTTCCCTTCGTTACACAACTAAATTCATAAAGAGAGAAATCTAGACAGACCTGAGGTTGGAAACAGAGAGTAAATTGTAACTAAATAAATAGAGATTTCATATGACAGGTGAGAATAAAAGAAAAACAGGAGAGAAAAAGACCAAACATTGGGTTGTATGGTGTTGCCAGATCGCATCATCCCTGCATTCATTCCAGTCAGTTTATCAGGTTAATGCTGTGTTCTAAGGGTCAACCTCATACTGAAAGCTGTGTGCTGAGTATGTAGTACTATACTGTAGCCAGATGGCTACTGCCTGAGAGGGTAGTGATAACTGAACATGGAGAACACTCACACAGCTCTGCTGTGGATATTAGTGAAATTCAAGTGTCCAAAGAAGGATTGAGAACATGCAGGTTGCCTTTGTGGATGCAATAGCTCCCGCCCTTTGTAAAAGGAGATTGGGGAAATAAAACAGAAAGGGCAGATGGAAAAAGAGATTGAAAATGGAGAGAGATTTGTCTAGAAACACCTAATGGTCCATCTGTTGTGAGCTGCAACAGCTTTTGAGCATAGTTGTGACTTTTTTTTACCCCAGGAAGTTTCATGTGTTTTCCAACAGAGGTATGGATGCAGGGAATGGATGTTAAAAGGGATTGGAAGGGTAGTGTATGTGCTTTGTATGGAAAAGGAGGAAGTCAAATTGCTGATGCAAGCAAACAGCCATCCCATGTAGTCATGGGCTGATGTCCAAAGGATGATATGGCACTTAATAGTCATGGTTGATATTTGAAATTCTATCTGTTGTGTTCTGTCATTACATAATTTAATGGTCTTCATTAACTAGAGTTAGGTTTTCCCCATGTGCTTAAGAAAGAGAAAAATAATTCTGAGCAACCATCACCTGCTGTGATTTAGATTTCTGATCTAATTGGTTGTCTTTTACACTTTCTCAGGCTGTTCATTTTCATTCAGCTGCTTACAGTCTGCCTTCCTTGTGCTATGACCTCAGAAATGTTAGTGGAGCTGCTGAGTTGAATCTCAAAGTACAAAACATGGGTGATAGTTTCTCTGTGATGATTCTCAGCTGGTGGCAGTAGAACCATCTAAGTATATTCACTGCAAATGAGTTAAAAAAAAAAAGCTGAGAGCCCTCTGAGTAATACTGAAAATCATTGTTAAGTTTAAGTCAGTCTGTAAAGAAACTGCTTTGCCCTCACAGTTGACTGATTGCATGCCAGATACAAAGATGGTACAGTTAATTCTTGAAAGCAAGTTACTAATACTGTTGGTTGACAGTGGAATAAAATAGGATTGCAAAGTCAAGATTTCTTTTTGATTTTGTTTGTTGTTCTCTTTTTCCAAGGATTCTGCCCTATGTGCTAGTTTTTGTGACAGATTTTGATCAATATTGGTTTTGTTCCAGTATCTCAACTCTTAAGCTTTATGAAGGTTATATAGATGAAGATGACTCTTTGTGTTTAAGGGCTTTTACTTAAAAAATGCTTACAAGGAAAGGGGAAATGAAGTATTTCGTAGGTGGGTGCTTTCCTTTTTGTTTCTCATTTTTTTGGGATTATGTTCAAGTTCAAGGTTCCTCACAATGTTCTCATCGGTAAACTGGACTTAAATTCTGCAACATGGCCTTTGCGTTTCTGTGGCTCTTTCTGCAGCAGACTCAGGTAAATTACAAACTGGAAGATTTCAATGAATCAAGTTTGAAAATTATGTTCCAATCAGCGCAGTATTCTTTGTAGTGATTTGACATAAAAATAAAATTTCTTAATTTCTTTAAATTCTTAAATCTGTTGCAGACTTTGGTTATGATTGTGCATCGCGTTTGAGTGGTGGTGGTGGTTGCTTTTGGGCAGATAGCTAAGAGATAGTTGTAGCTCTTACAGAAACATGCTGGGTAGTGCAGAAAAAGTGTATGTTCCAGAGTAGAAGGTGTAAACTAATTATTATGCTGTTATGGGAGGGACAGTAAATGTTGTTATATACTTACTATAAAGTAGCATCTCCAGTTCTCATTCTAGGTTGTCAGGGTATTTGATGTGTCGCTTTTCAAGTCCAAATGAGTTTTTGTTTCTTGCGTCACTTAAAATTCAGTGATTTTGAAGACAAAAATGTTCTTACATCTTAATAAGGGATCAGTTTCTGGTACTTCTTTCCAAAGGGGAGTGGATTAATAGGAGTAAGGTAATCAGATGTTATCACTGTGGATCTCATGGCAAAAATCTTTTAGTGTGTGTATGTAGTCTGTTCCTTTCTTGAGTTTGGATTTTGCTTTCATCACCTCATTTTGTCTGTTGACTGTGTTGAAGTGTTGAGTTTGTCCCTGGATTTCAGTATCATGTTTCCTAACAGTGCTTCATCATATCGTTTGAAAGGTAAATGACTTCTGTCAGTGGACAGAATCTCCTAATTGAGTATTTCTGGAATGCAATCAAAAGTCTAAAAGTTATTGTTGGCTTCAAAGACAGTTGGAACTTGAGAGGTTTTGCTCTCCTTTCATTCTAGTTTCAGTTTGCTGCTGTGGCTACTGCAGTCAGCAACAGACCTTTGTGAGTCCTATTTCAATCACTTTCATTCTCTGCAGATCCTGTTTAGACTTCTTGGAGTCATAGGATCATTTAGGCCAGAAAAGATCCTTAAGATCATAGAATCAAACCATAAACCCAACCCTACCAAGGCCACCAATAAACCATGTCCCAACGCACCATGTCTATGCATCTCATTCACACCTCTTTGCACACCCCAGGGATGGTGACTCAGTCGCTTCCCTGGGCAGCCTACTCCGATGCTTGATAACTCTTTTTGGTGAAAATATGCTTCCTAATACCCAATCTATACCTGCCCTGGCACAACTTGACAAACTCCCTAGATACAACATCCTTTCAAGTAGCTGCAGAAGGTGATAAAGTCACCCCTAAGCTTCCTTTTCTCCAAGCTAAACAACACCAGCTCCCTCAACTGCTCCTCCATCCCAGGAAACAGTGCACTGCTACTATTATCTGAATTCTTTGCCTAAATACTTGGCCATAAATTGGTGGTAATCTGTTGAAGTTACTTTCAGTGAAGTAACTTTCAGCTTTTTTTTGGTCTAAATTTCACCTACGAGACCCACTGGGCATTTTTATAATTTTAAACACTCCCTTTATTCTCAGAGGCGTGATGCAAATGGGTTTTTGGAAAGGGAGCAGTATTCAGTACTAGGGAAATGTGGCATAGATTCTGTACAGCAGGAGACACTTAACTGGTGCCGTTGGTTATGCAAGTGAACAGAAGCTACCTTTGTATAGCAGTGAAGTCATCGCTGAGAAATGTGAATTTTGCCTTGATACTGTAAGACAGACATTCAATTGTAAGAACTGAGAGGGGGGTGGGGAGGGAATGACAAGAATAAAAATGAAAGAACTAAGAGGAATAGTTATTGAGAAAGATAACAATTTAAATTTACATTGGTTGGGAATAATGGAGAATATTGAGCAATAGCTGGTTTTGGTTTGGAAGAAGAGGTTTACCTCTGCAGAGAGTGGATTACTGGGATACTTCAAGAGAAGAAAGGAGGAAAAGAATGCTTCAACTTCTGGATACAAAGATAATCCTAAGATAAACAAGTACTCAAAAAAAATTTGTGCTTTAAAATTTGATCTAAAGCCTATCCAAGACAATGTGATCTTTTTCATAGATAGAAATGGGTTCTTTCAATTAATAAAGATTTGTGATCCTGTCTGGAAGTCTGATCATAAGAGACTATTGCATAAATTTCGTGATTATGTAATTATATGCTTCTTTTGTGTGATTCCTCTGTGATTACTTACTTTAAGATCATTTCTCTGTAATTTATCTCCTGTACTTATTGTATTTCCTCCTTCTTGTCAAATAGGTAAGCAACCTGAAGAAAATTTTGAAAGGAATATTGGATTACAATCATGAGGTAAGAATGGTTTTGAATAATCTACATCTACATACCTTTATAGTTACATATTTTAGTTAACCAGTTGAATATTAATTGTATTCTACAAGTGAAGTACTGATGTTTTCTTGGCATAGATAGTGATTCGTGGCCTGTTCTCTAGTCTTAGCCTTCTCTAAAACTTTTCACCTGTTTTATTGACTACTCAGAGGTCCCAGGGAAGCCTGATGTGCAAGTTCTGTCATACAAACATTAGATGGCCTTACCGAGTATGTTCTGGTCATGGACTTCAACAGCACCTGTGTTTGATTTTTTTTTTTCCCCTCCTCCTCTGCAGTTAAAGTCTGCCTTTTCCCTTATTTTTCTCGTAAGGAGAGAGAGTAAAGCGTTTCTTGCCTCTCCCCACATTAAGATTTTATATGAAATATTTTAATTCTGGAATATTGGAGTCACCCCGTGGCATTTTCTCTTATTCTGAGCAAACTCAGAAATTAACCATTACAGAGGAGTCAGAATACGGTATTTTTTCCAGTGGTGAATCTTCAGCTGAAATATGCTTTCAGTTTCAGTGATGTTTTGAGGCAAATTGATCTGTACAGGCTGCAGCACAAAATCTATGCTTGTCTCAAAATATTAGCTTCTCATAAATACTTCAGAGATTAAGTTATTTGTTAATAAACTGAAGTCTTTCAGAAAAAAAGTTAGACTTATGAGGCATTCAGCAAATGGTTAGATGTCCACGTTGAAATAAATGTTGAAAATCGGTGGTTAGGCAAGCTGGTCATAACTGGAAATACTAAAAAGAAACATTGGGTTTTTGTTATGGAAAATTAATATTACTAAGACAAAGTGATGCAAGCTTCTTTTTGACTGGTTAGTATATATGATGATTAAGTCTCTGGTGTGAAAACTTTACTACTAGGCAAGTTCTGAGCTGTTTCAAGCTGACTAACTTCTGCAAAGGTAATGCACATTTATAAGTCTGACTGGATTTTGGTTTAGTTTCTTTTTTTTTTTCTGCTGAGGGAAGCGATGCTGGTGGTGATAGTTGAGATGACAGGATTCTACTATGAATCCTGCTTATGTTTTCCTCAATCTGATTCCTTCTCCTAGAGCCACCTTGTACTAAAATATAGGTGTGATTGCATGTGGATTTTGCCTGATGTAGCTAAAAGACTTTGAAAAATGTATATGCTAACATTTTCCCTTCTCCAGAATTCAGAAATTTGTGTTGTGTTCAGGAGGACAGTCTCTCAATAGCTATGTTACACTGCTGTCTTTATCAATTATACTATGGAAGAACAAGAAGCCAAAGTTAACTATTTATAGCTCGCATGCTTTGTTATGCCCCACTAATCTTGCTGCAGAATTCTACTCCTCTGGAACTGAAATTTTTAAGATTTTTTTGTAAAGATATTTACTTAGTTTTTAAAGGTATTTTGTAACATTTTGAAAAAGGCTTAAATGCTCTTTTTCATCTCAAAATAGTTACTGCAAAGTCTATCCTCCATTTTCGTATTTCTTTCAGGTTTGTTTTTTTTTTCTGAACAGGAATGAATCTGGGCCCTTTAAAGTATACAGATATTTTTAGCAGTGTTGAAACTAATTCTTTGAGAAAACTGTTTTAAAAATTCCACAACACAAAAAGCACCAAACACAACAAGAAAAACTCAACCACAACACTCCCACAAAACCCAACTCTAGAAAACTTCTGAGTGCCTTGTTTTCTTTGTGGTCTTCATATACATTACATACTTTTTCTAAATACCTTTACCTAGTTTCTTGTTTTCTCAAGTGTTGCACATAAAGGGCAAGCAGCAAACGACTGATTCCCTCTATAGTCATTGTTTCCTTATTACACCCTGTTTAAGAAGTTAGTTTCTTTTAATCTGCAATTAATGTGTCATAGATGTGTTTTAATTCCAAATTTCATATTCATATTTTCAAGCCTCTGTTCAATAAAGAGCAATTTAGCAGAATTGTTTAATTCCATCTACTGACAATCATTAATGTAGTCTTAATGATAAATCAGATAACTATTGTGAGTCACATGGGCTTTTGTTTTGTTTTTTTTTTTCTTTCTTTCTGCATGTGGGCTGTTTAATTACATATCATTGTACTACTAACTGAGATTATCTTCCATGGAACATCTCTCTTAGCTGTGAGACTTGCAAGTTATCCTTAAATTTGCTAGAAGTGCAAGGCTTAGTGATCTGAGTTTTTTGCTTATATTTTTCACCTGTCAGTGTTAGACATATGTATTGTATAGGTGAAATATTTAACTTCTTGGCTTTATAGTAGTAAGAAATGTCAGATTTGTGTATAACATTTTATGCTACGTGAGATGTTTTTAGGTGTTGGGTTTTTTTAATGGAATGCTTAAAAAAAAAAATCAATTATCCATGTGGTGGCCTGCTTTTGTTACCTTCTTATCTGAAGAAAAAAAATCTTGCCAAGTGTGTAACTCGTAGTTGCTTATGAGTCGATGCTCATAAGTGTTGTGTTGGTCATGTTTGTCTTCTCCTAAATATTATTTGTGTCAAACAGTATGATTTAATATTTGGATGTTAGGCGATATACTTTGTTTTAAAGGTGGATTTAAAGTAAGAGTGAACTGCTCTTGTTGATTATGAATCATTGTTGTACAAAATGTGTGTGTATGTATATGTGCAGTGATACAGCCATGTAATTACTGGGTCTTTACACAGATTCTGGGGCAACAGATAAATGACTTCACCCTTCCTGATGTTAACCTGATTGGAGAGCACGCTGATGCTGCAGAGCTTGGGAGAATGCTTCAGCTTATTTTGGGATGTGCTGTGAATTGTGAACAGAAGCAAGGTAATAAATTTTCAAAGCATGTTTTCTTGCTTGTTATGTAAACACTTAGAGGAAAAACTCTATTTACCGTGTTTCTGTCTGAGACAAATGTAGGGTTTTTTCAGTGGTGACATGATTTTGTCCTATGGGTAGTAACTTGTTTTGTTATAAGCTTCCTTAGTTTTGGCGACTCACACTGTGGAATTGATTTTGCTTCCAACATCCATATTTTCAGTTTGGGTTTGCTGAGCTGAAAAATCACTCTACAAAGGAAAATTCTCGGGCCTACCTTTTAACCATTTATGAGGTAGATTGCGATAGTTAAGAATGGACATGTGTGATTGTTGCATTATTCTGTGTGACTCCTGATTTTAGGAATGCATTCCAGTCATTACCTTAACTACACGGGTGAAAGCTTTTCCTGAAGATGTGTCTGGTGTGATCTAGGATGCTGTAGTTTCTGAGAGCAACTGCAAACATTCATTCTAAACACTTAAAACGCAAAACATAGTCATATGAATGGAAAATACATGTTTGGGAAAATAAGACTATTTCTACTGTGTTTATGTTACAGTTGCACCAAATATATGTCTCTTCTGATTTAACTCATTCTGGTTTTGGTGGCAGCCAGGGTTTAAGACCTTTTGTCTTCCTCTTGCTTGATTCATCTTAACTTTTACTGCTAGTTTCCCCTTTCAGTTTTCTCAGGTGACTAAATCACTTTAGTTTCTCCTTCTGAAATTACTTTTGTTCTCTTAAACAGGAGATGGTCTGGCTGTCTTATTAATTAAAGTAGAGGAAATGTTATTCCATGAGTATATAAATAACTGGTTTATTAACCCTCCTGTCCTCTCTGTTTTCTGTAAAATTACCTTCCTTCCTTTGGGTGACTGTTTGTCACCCTCAGGTGGGAAGTATATCTTATTCTTGTCTTTCCTTTACTCTCTCAGTTTGGACATTAAAAATGTACATGTTTGAAATATCAGAACAGTCTAGTTTTATGTTTTTGGAGTGAGATTTGGCATGAGCTAATTAACCACTTAGAGGTGACTTTTCCCCAATATCTTTCCCTTAGGCACATCATTAAAAGAATACAGGTCATGTGTAAAGGAGATCATATCTATCTGGAAACTGCATTATACTGGGCAAGTCATTAACTCCTTGACTTAGTCTAAATGTCAGAATTTGCCTTTCTGACCACTATATTGTTTCTCAAAGTCTCTCATCTGTAACTCACATCTATACATACATAGGTGAGGAGTGAAAAAGTGGAGGGGGACTTAATTTGTGGGGTAACACAGGAATAAGAACAGAAAGCAAGAATGGATGTGAAAATGCTTTGAAATGAGAATGCTGTAAGAAGGCAGGACATTATTGTTAAACTTATGGAAAAGTACAACCTATGCAAGGATTGTGTACCTGAAGAGCCTGAATAGTTTGGGAACAAATGGAGAAAAGGAGTGAAAATAGTTATAACAGAACTGTGAGGTACCAGAAGGAAAAGATAATTATGTACTTTTTTGGTTGTTGTAGAGTTCAAATAAGCTGGATTTATGTCTGATCAGACTTCTGATAAAATCCTGTTGAGTTTGTTGTGGTGGGACTTGACTGGTGATTATGCATTTCAGTGTCATCCATGGCACCTACTCATTTTGTAGGAAGGATGCAGCTTCTGATCTTCTGTTCTCTGACTTGAATTTTAACCGTGACGTTTCAGAATGCCCTTTTTTTTTTTTTCAGAGTACATCCAGACCATAATGATGATGGAAGAATCAGTTCAACATGTTGTCATGACAGCCATTCAGGAGGTATGCTGGGATGCCTGCAGTGTATGAAAGTTCTGCCTTTCAGTATTTTACAACAATATGCTTTTTCCTACTTTGGAAAAACTTAGTTGGAAATAAAGAAAATAAGGGGTGTAGATTTTGCCTTTTTACAGGGAAAAATATCTTATTTTTTCCTTAGAAAAATCTTACTTTATGTCAAGGAACTCTGGTTGAATGTCCCACTTTTCTTTAAATCTAGAAGACTGGAACTTCTAGATATTTTTGATATTGGGTTCCCTTTCCTTTACCTTTCCCACCCTGTGAATCCTAAAATACACTAGACTGATTTTGTATGGGTAACCAAATACTGTAGAATTTCATCAAAATTTGTACCTTGAAATTGCAAAACTTCACGGGCTGCTAATTTTTTTTAAATTTTGTTGACAAGTGAAAAGGAAGAGAATTAGAGACTAGAGTATTCTTCTGTCAGCTGTAGTGTTATGATACATAATGATGATATGTAATGATAAATAATATGAATATATAGGAATAATATGATAGGCTGCTATGTTTTTACAAGTTAGTGAATATACTCCAGTGCATTTTGTTAGTTGTTTGTTGTACTCCAGTGCATTTGTGGTTAAAACCTCAGTGTTAGCCACTATAGCCCTGGAGCCCCCATGTGACTTCTTAGGATCCCAAAATACCCACAAGTGAAATGCCTGTCAGTCTTCATAGATGGAGGTTTACTGCGGGGCAGGCCACTAAGGAAAGCTGGAAACCACTGGTAATCCCATTTCTTTTGAACCTGAACAAGAGAAATGAAATTCCACATTAGGCTCTAGAGCAGTTTCACTTCTCTGGAATGTCTGAATGTAGAAAGAGGTGTCAGTAAGCCTACAAGGGACCCTGTCCCCTGTCATCACTTCAACCATGCAGTCATACATTCAGTTGTCCGTGTGTGGAGTGCTGTCTACAACCATGCAGAGTAGACTTTTGAAATGAGCATTGAAAGAATTGTTACGCTCAATCATCTTCCAGTCGGTGCTGCCAAGCACCAGTTTGCTGGAGTTTTGGGATATTGTACTTTTTTCTATTTTTTGTAACTGTAATACAGTGTTTTGGTGAAGCTTTCTAATGCTTTTTATTAAATCCAAATTTCAGCATCACTGTTTTCTGCACTGCCTTGAAATAGAAAACCTTATTTTATCCTCCCTCTTTCTGTTAAAAGTCTCCTATTTAATTTTTCTAAAAGTCTTCTTCATTTGGTATAATAGCCAGATTTGAAGCAGCCCACAGTTTTCAGCATTTTTGATGAGTAAACTTTGAAGTTTTTTAGTGTTTGTGCCCTTTCTCTGAGCCGGTGAGTAGAAGTACGGGAGAAATCACTGGGTCTGTTTTTCTGGAACAGATTTTTGAAACTCACTGAATCAAAAAGCTTACCATTCAGATACTGGCACAGTTCTGAGTGATTTTTAATGCTACTTTCCAAGCTGCTTAGAAATCCAAGGCATTTCAGGACCAAATAAGGAGGATCTCAGGTGCTCAATGAAGAGGTGAGAAAGCGTCTCAGACTTTGATACACTTTGAGAGCAGGACCTCCCTCCACTGCTTTTTAATGGGCTTGGAGTCTTGAGAAGTCCAGGGTCAACTGGAAGCTGGCAAAGATTATCCAAATTTTCAAGAAGAGAAAGAAGACAGACACTGGCCATTGCAGGCCTGTCTCATGTCAGTGCTTGGCAAAATTGTGGAGAAGGTTATTCTGGGAGTTAGGTCATAGCCAGCACAGATTCACATGGGGTGAAACTTCACTGGATTTAAGGAGGATTTTCTATTTCTTGGGCTCACAGCAGCTCTCAGAATTCAAGTGACTTGGAACAAGCAATATGTAGGAGACACCAAAATAAGATGCCTAGGAAAGTAGGTGTATGTACGTGTTTGAAAAGTTGCTGTACATCACCTCGTCCAAACGTTCCAAAGTATTTGACATTGCAGGTACTCTTTCTTTAAAATTAGGTATGTCAGAAGACCTCTCTAAGCTTCACTGACGTATTATGAAATTTATTTTTCTGTTTCAGTCGAGCACACATAAATTTTTTTTGATGCTTCTTTGGTTTTCATAAATCATCTTACTCAGGAAAGTATATCATGAGGCACAGTAGAACAAGTTTTATCTAGTTTTTTTGCATGTAGAAGGTAATTTTTTCAATGGAAGAAGCAGCATATTATGTTCTAAATTTTAGTTGATTATTTTATTTTTTAATAACTTGTGACTCTTCAACATTTCCTTTCTTCACTTATTTAAATGCTTAAAATATGCCTTGTGCTCCATAAGGTTTTATAAATTTAACAGTGCTTGTTTTTAACAAACAACAGTGTAGTTGTTCAGTGTAGTCAAATTGATCTGGTGTGTTGCCACCACCTAGATTCTTAGATGCTAATCTTCACGTGTACATATCTAAAGACAAGCTGTGCACAAGATAGAGGATTTCATGTATTAATATGCATAATATTACAGTTATTTTTAATTCCATGGGGTTTAGATTTTTTAGAGGCCAAAAATCTTTCCTTACGGAAATTATTTTGGCCACTGTGTGTTTTTCTTTCTTTTCCTTTCCTTGACATCTTTTGGAAATTCTTCTGCCACTTTCCCAAGTCTTTTTCTTGAACAGCAAAGTTCAGTATTTATGAAGACGGTAGCTGAGGCAAATAATCTACTTACCTTTGCTGTTTAAAACATCTCTAAACTTGATCACTTAGCAGGTGTCTGTGCAGGTCAAGTTGAGAGTCAGAACAATACTAGAGGTAGTGTCAAAACTTGCCTGGGGTGAATAGGAAAAGGAACTTACTGTCTGGGTTAATACTGACTGTGTTACTTCCACTGTTTGGTTTTGTGGGTTTTTCCCCTGCTGTATTTTGTCTTGACTGTTTAAAGCTTTATCTTGTGTGAAGTAAAACTGTTCTTTTAATAGTTAGGAAATAATACAAAAGTATTTTGTTGCATCTGTCAACAGATAGACTGGAGGATAGACTGAATACCAACTGGAGGAAGAAAGTCCACCTGCTTTAAAGGATACACAGTGTCATACATAGCCTTGACTCTTTAAAACAAGCATAAAGATGTTTCAAAAAAGAAAACCTGAGTACAGAAGCTAGATTTTTGTCATTGTTTTTGTGGACACTTAAATGAGCTTGTAAAATATTATCGTTACAGAAGAAGCATTTCAGATAAAGCAAGTGTTTTGGACTGTTAAAATCATCAACTGAATGGTTCAGCTGCATTTGCAAAATCACATATAGGGGAAAAAAAAAGCTTTCATAATTCAGGTTATTCATGCATGCAGATTTTGTGATAGTTTTACCCATTCCCTAATCTTTATGTATCCATGACAACACAATTTGTTCACATTTCCCAAGGAAAGCAATTAAAATGTGAAGGTTTTAATAATATAGGATTAGCAGACCTTCAAGTGTTATGTGAGATATCATACCAAAGCTGTGAGCATGAAAAGGTACATATGTAAAGGATTAACATGGAATGACAACTGCTGCTCATAAAACTACACAAATAATTATAAGTATTATCGTGTTGTCCAGGTTATTGCACCATTTGTAATCCAGACTGACCTTTTTATGCAAAATAAACCGGAAAAAGAAAAAGACAGTAAATGCTAGTGCATTTCAGTGTCAGAAGCTCTTAAGCAGGGTTTTCCTTCTCATGTAGACACCTACTGCAATTGCTTGATTTTGCTGGCACTTCTTTTTTTCCCCTTTTTATAATTTCTGCATATCATCCTCCATTAAAGTTACAGGTGAAAATAAATAATAATACTATACTTAAGCTAAATGGTGAGCTTGGAAATGAAGGCCAGTTCCAGTGCTGCAAAATCGTGAAGGCAGACCTTTATTCCTCCTGTAGTCTGCTCCAGAAGAAAACTAAAGCTGTAAGGGGAGACTGAGGAGGCCACTTCCTTCTGCTTTTTATTCTCTTAACTTATTTGAAATACAAATGAAATGAAGTTTGCCCCTGTAAACTCAAAATCTTGGCATTGACCCATACATCTCAATTCCACATATTCTAATATCACACTTGCAGGCTGCATGTGAAGCCCTGAAAGTACAGCAGTATTTAGTTAAGTTTTTCTGAATATGAGCTTTAAGTAAAGGAGATATATAGCAGACCCAGTAAGTAAATTTGATTTAAAAATTAGTATCAACCTACTAGTATCATCAGATTAGTAATAAATAATGCATGTGCCATTGAGCAGGTAACTGATTATACAAGCATTTTGGAGCTCTAAATTTCAGTAATATCAGAGAATGCTGATTGACCAGAAACAAAGTGAAGAATGGAGAAAACTAGGGAAGCCTCTTACCTTGTATTTTTCAGGTGGATGGAAGGTTGTAGTGTATGCTTTGAGTTGACAAACGTATCTGTATGGAATCCTAAGACACAGCATTCAGTAAAACTTTTCTTGAAATTTTCAGAAAATCTGACTGAAGAGAGAGAAGTTTGGATAGGTGGGTGGAGTTGTACTCTGTTGGCTGTGCTATTTAGGGTAAAGTGTTTCCTATTAAGTGGGGAGAAACTGTGTAGAGGCAATCCAGAAGCAGAGTGTGGTCAAGACATTTTGTTGCATAAACCATTGTCCCAGTGTATGGGGAGATGTGTAGGGGAAAGATGGATGCACTCCTTTGCCCTGATACCTTTTCATCCCACTCCTTAACTTCAATTTATTATTAACTGTTGATCAGAAGTTGGATTCCTGTGTCAGTTGTGAGTTATCTGTCCGTATCCTTCCTGTTATTTGTCTGGTTGTGCGACTTACTGGACACAAAACAATCCCTTAGATTTCCTCTTTAGCATTCCCCCCATAGCACAGGCCATCAGATTGCAAGGTGCTTCCTGTTGCATTGAGTCAGTCATCTGCACCTGTGCCTATGGCTCTCACCCTCAGTGCCTCATGCACGCTTTCCATGACATTCCTAACGCACCCCATGGAGTTAAATTCACAAGTGCTGTGTAACATTCAGGGTACACCCAGACCACGTATCTCCACTGCCTAATCCTGCTCCAGATAATGTCCTCTTTTCTGGACATTTCTGCTTAAGGGCTCTCCAGAACATCGTGTTTGGCGAGAGATGACAAAACTCACTGAAGAAAATAGGGATTATATTGGCCTTGGCCTGCTTCCTGTACGGCAGTTTCACGGGAGCAGTGACACCACAGTGGCCTCTAGTGGGTTGTGCGGTCACTTGTATTCCTTTTTACTGTAAGTCTTGTGGAGGTCCGTTGAGCTTGTTTTCTGAAGAGGAAGTTGTGCTCGGGCCAGAAAGGGGGGGCTGCTGTTCGGGACGTGTTGTTGCACACCCCTGCAGGCTGAGCGGGACCCGCCAGCTGGAAAGTGCTGGCTTGGCGGGCAGAACTTACTTGTGTGCTTGTGAACACGTGTGTCCAGTGTTTGCAAACAGTTTTGGGACATGAAACAGGGAAGAGGAGCTCAGTATTTGGTTAATAGGGGATATCCCTTTAGTCATCTGGAAAAGCGTTTTAACAGTAGCTGGTGAAATGCAGTAATTGAAACATGTAAGACTTGTCACAGAGCAGGGAGGGACTGGAAGTTTTTGCTTAAATGATAATAATCTTAGATTAGGGCCTTACATTATAGACAAGTTTGTAATGCCACTATATATGGTAACAAAGAAGACGTGACTTCATTTTTCCAGGGACAGCTCTGAGGCTAGGGAGTTTCTAATTATTGTTACAGGGACTCTGGGCTTCATGCAATGCTTCATCTTGGAGTGGTTTTGTCGTTGTAAACATGTAGACAAAATGGAAGAAATTTGACAAACATTGTCATGGTCTGAGGAGGACTGTTGAGGACAGATAGATTAATTTAAGCATTAGGTATGCAGGTAAATCCCAATTAAGGATATGGGAAAAGGGAGAGAGATGTAAGTGTATAAATATTTGAATGATGTAAATGTCAAACAGAGATTTTTCACTTGTACACAGTGGTATAAACAGAAAGGATTGAGAACAAACGAAGGCTCTGTGCCATGTGTTCCAAAAACTTTGTCAAGGAAAAGTAATGCGAAAGCACTGTTTTCTGGAAGGAATAAATGAAGCCCTGTCTCTGGAGAGAGTAACCAGGCTGGACCAGAGGTCTTAGGGAAAAAATCTAGTCCTGACTTTGGTTAGGATGGGGCTTTTTTGATTGGAACATCCATGAATTGTGTCATTGGAGAGCTCTTAAAACTTATGAGCTCTTTCTCTTTTTTTTAATAAGCTCATCAGTCAATTTTATAGGACTTGATTTGGGTTTTTGTGCTGAGGGTTTGATAGTAGTTTCGGTTTTTTTGTTGTTTTGCTTTAGGTTTTTTGTTTGTTTGTGTCTGAGTTTTGTTTTTGTTTTTTTTTAAACATATTCTAAATATTACAAAACCACCTTCAGGTATTCCTGCAATAAAATAGGTTAGTACACAATGAATTGTAATATTCATTTCAGGAATGCGCTCTACAGAGTTTCTCTTTAAATTTGAAAATTACAGACAACTCCAGAGCAGAATTTTGTTCATCTTTGTTTTGCACTATTAGCTGATGATATGTCCCAAACTTTAGTGAAATAAATAAATGCATATGAACTTCCAGGTAATTGAAGCATGAAAGCCACTAGCAGAGAACAATTAAAAGAAGATCTGGCATGGTGTGTTGATATCTACCATCATTCCAATGCCACTTCAGTAAAATATTTAGCGGGGTGTACTGTAGACTTCATCATAGGTGAAGAATGTGCATTGTCAGAAGAAAAAGAGATGATGTAAGGGGTTTTTTTTACCACTCTAAATATTATAAGTTATGAAGATTATTTTTTTTCTGGTTTTGTTTCTGAAGATATCTTATGTAAAAATGAAGTTAAAAACTTTCAAATTAAGTCAGATTAAAACTCCCAAAAGTGAAAACAAGCTTGGTGTTTCGTTGAAACTTAGGTTTTAATATAAAAGTAAATCCTTGTTTTTTCTAATCCAGTGTAATCTAATTGCAGTTGATGAGTAAAGAGTCTCCAGTCTCTGTTGGAAATGATGCTTACGTTGACCTTGATCGGCAGGTATCTAAGACCAAATGTTTCTTTTCCTTCCATCATAGCACATCAGTGGCCAGTCCTTTTTCTGTATTAAGAACTCTGTCTTTTTTTTTTTTTTCTTTAATCATTAAAGTGTTTTGTGGGAAAGTCAAATGAGGAGTGGAAAACTAAATTTCAGTAGTAAATTTCAGAGTCCTTTAGGTTTATAGGTTGAGTTTACTCCTATTCTGTGTTTAAGGGAAAAAAAAAAAGTTGATTTGGAAAACCAGTCTAGCTGTATGACATAATAAAGCGAACTGCAGATTGGTACAAATCTTTAGGAATTGAGAAAGGATAAAAAATGTGTAGTATTTGAATAAAGCTTTTTTATGCGTGTGAATAAAACTTTTCCTACTCCCAAAGTCAGTTAAAAAAAAAAACCAAATCAAAACAAACACACGCATATTTGGGGTCCTGGAACTGGTCCAGTACATAAGAGAAGTTTTCAAATATAACCCTTCCCTGTCTGATATATTTAAAAAATATGCAAAACCAATTGGTTTTACTAACTTAACTTCATGCTAACCCTATCCTGCTTCCTCAGGTTTTTTTCTAATTGAGAAGTATCGTACAGTGGTTTTCCCTGTGTTCCTCCATCATACTTTTTCTGCAGAAATATGTAAATGCTGGCAGATTAAATTAAGTTCTGTATGTAAACAGACCCTGAGAAATAAACTTGCACATACCAAATATGATGATGCTATTTGAGAAAGCCCATTTACACTTCATCATATATAATAGCACATCTGTGCTATATATACAGCACTATCTGTATCTATGTCTATATACATAACATGCACACACCTATAGCTATGTTTATGTTAACTGCATTAATTTGTAAACTGACAAGATACATATCTTTGAATATCTTTGAATATCTTTGAATATTGAGCCCTTGAAGGGAAATACCTGAATATTTACCACTGCTTACAAGATTCGGTGCCCTTTTTCAGAAGGGTAGGCTTCTCTGTCACCACGTTAGTTGTATCCCTGTTGTGCACTAAGAGTAGCTTCCTTTACTAGAGAGATTTTACCCTAATTGTCCATTCCCTGTATTCCGCCTTCCAGTCCTTTCAAAACTAGATTGAAAATTGAAATTATACGCTCTTTGATTCTGTAAAGAAAAGTGGTATTGACAATTTTTTTCAGTGTAGAGATTTGATGAGTTCTTCAGACCCGAGTTCGAGTGTTTTTGGCTCAATTCATAGAGCAGATGTGATAATTCTAATATAAGAGCAAACATTACTTTTGGGTGCTTTTACTTTTTACTAATACACAAACTAAACAGTAATCACACCTGCTTCTTTTTTTCTTTATAAGAGTGGAATTACCTGAGCTTTTCAAAAATTTAATATATTACCTAACTGTGAAAATTTTACAGTCATGTAGTTCAGAATATTTTTAATTGGATCACAGAGACTGATGACAGTGTTAATGTTTATTGTTTATGCTAGCTGAAGAAAACTACAGAAGAATTAAATGAGGCACTAGCAACAAAAGAAGAAATTGCCCAGAGATGTCACGAGTTAGATATGCAGGTAAGTTTGCTGTAGTGTCTATTGATTTTCAAGTGGGGAAAAAGATGTGTTAACTTCTAGGCAGCTGAAAATAAGCAGTATAGTGTGGAAAACAATTTTTAAACGGGAGATGAAAATGGCACAGTAGTTATTTTGCTTCACTTGTGCTAGCAGAATGAATGTCATTGTTTTCTTATCTTGATGCAAAGTTGCCAGTATGAAGATGACTCACACTGATGAAACTTTTTTTCGTTCTGGTAGGAAGGGTTTGAGCTGTGTGGTAAAACTGTTGCAGTAGAGCACTAATACAGGTTCTGCTGCTGTAACAGTTTCAGTTCAGTGTTAAATACCAGTAGGAAGTTACTGCAGAGGATCAGCTGTGCATGGGTTTTGACTAAGCTTTACTTTAAGTCAGTCATACCTCATCTGGAAGATATGAGGAGTGTGAGGAGGAAACCCTGAAAGGCATTGCCATTGTAACCCTGTTTTGGAGTATAATTCAGGCTTTTTGCCAAACGGTTCGGTAACCGTTGGAATTAATGAAGCTGATCTGTGTGCTCATGGTTAATATGTGAACCCATGTTTCAGCTGTTGTTTGAGTTGGAGCACTCTGAGTTCTTCACGCCACTGCCTGTTTCCACAGCGTTGGTGGAAACTGAGTCATCTTTGGAACTGTGTTCCTCTTTTGGACCTGCTTGCAGTTAGCCCTTACTGTGGAGAGCTAGTTTTATTTGTTTGCTGGGAGAGTATGCAGACTTAAATATGATGAAGTTATCTTCTGTCATAACAAAGACTTTTTCTTTCAATGCCAGTGCAAAATATGTTAAAGAATAGTTACATATTCTGTGTGGTAAATCTGCCCCTAATGTTGCAATATGTTGGTTACATCACTTAGCAATTGAATGCCTATTAAATGATACAGTATATTCCTGTGAAATGTGATTATTATTGTAGTCTGTGTGTTTCTGTTTGTGGGTTGTGTTGATATTTTATTATGTGCACAAAAAAGTATTTCTCTCTGAAGCTGGATGGGTCAGTTATTCTAGTCCATGCTTTTATTACAACAGGTTGCAGCTCTCCAAGAGGAGAAGAGCAGCCTGCTTGCTGAGAACCAGATTTTGATGGAACGCTTAAATCAGTCTGATTCTATTGAAGATCCCAACAGCCCTGCAGGTCGTAGGCACCTGCAGCTGCAGACACAACTAGAACAGCTCCAAGAGGAAACATTCAGGTAGAAAATCTACGCTTGGTTAGATTGTTTGTAGCTGGCAACATATGTGACTTAGATACTTCTGGTTCTGCTGGCAATTATGAATGAGTATAATGGGTGACATAACCACAGTAGTACAGTTTTTACAGTTTCATACACATTATGATTTACCTCTTTACAAGCTCTAGCATAACAAAATGCATCAGCTTAATGCTGAAATGCTGTATACATGTCACTCTCTACTCTGTGAGTTATTTTGAATTGTTTGCATGCAGTCATTTCACCCATGTTTTTCAAAATCAGTGAGAATTAAAAGTAGCATGCTTTCCTTTACCCAAATTATTCTGATTGCGTTTTTAAGGTGTAGAAATTCGTAGACTAAGGTCTGCTACAGGCAGTTCTACAGGTGGCGTTATTACATAGCAAAGTATGTCCTTCTCTGAACTTGAAAACAGATTGTTTCATATCTGAAACATGGAGATTATCCACATGTGATCTCTGCACTTCATTTGCATTTCCTCACCCTGTGGAAATACAATCCCTCTGTAAATCTCCTTCCTGGTTCTTTTGAGAATTGCTTCCAGGCTGTGTGTGCCTATTCTGCTGAAGAAAGCTGGTTCATTTCACTTTTTCATCCTCTTTGCCATACTTTCCCTCTCTTTCTTCACTGAAACCATGGTATTTCTTTACACTGCCAGTTTTTCTTTTGCTATGCTCTTCTCATTGCCCTTTTCTAATTCTTGTGATAAGTGCCATGTAACTTTCTTTATTTGCCTGTTTTGCCATTTTTCCACTTCCTCTTATACTAAACCTCCTTCCTGGTTATTCTGACATACCCTCTCCCATCTGTTTCTTGAAAAACGTTCAGTATTTCTCTTTCACAGCAGCTAGTGCCTGGATTTCTTCATTCTATACATCTACCATGTAAAGGAATAATGTAGTGATAGTGTCCCCTTTTATCTCTTCTGGTTTTATCTCTTCTGGTTCATCTGCATGCTCTGGAATGATCTCTCCCCGAGTCTGTTATCAGTTACTGTTTGAACAGGTTTTCTCCCCATATTCGATATCTGCACTGCCTTTTACTCTTAATTTTGGGTTCTGAAGGTCATTCTAAACATTTTTCTCCTGTGAGACTCATTCCTGGTCTCCTTTATCTCCTTCCCCTGCCTTCATAGCATGTGGTTTCTACTGGCAATTCGTGCATGTTCCTTCCAGCTCTGCCTGATCAAGCAGGACATATGTACAGCTGAATTGATGTCCAGTGTGGTACAACTGTTTTTCTCCAGTCTTGACTCTTTGTCCTTTGACACTACTAGTCTGTCACGATCCAAATGTTTGTTGTTTGTGGTTTAAATGGCTTAAAGACTTTCTCTTGTCTCCATTCTTGTAGACTCTTTTTGGATAAAATACTTTTTTTACCCCTCATGACCGTATCTCCCTTTCTGGATTGTTCATGTTTTAGTTTCAGATCAAAATCGCTGTAGGACTTCCGTGTTCCAGATTGTGTCCTTTTCCATTAATTCAAAATACTTTGACAAAGTTACTATTACTTATTCCCTTATTTCACTGACAGGTCAATGGAGCTTTGCCCATGTGTGCTGTATGCAAGCAGTTTACTCCAGCAAATTTGGTCTGAGTTCTTTACTTTTTAACTAAAAACCTGGTTCTTCAGGTGTGCTGGGCATGCACAGGCTCTTTATGAGTAAATAAATAAAATGACTTTGTTGAGAACTCTATGGCATTTATAACATCTGACAATCAGGTCAATATTGTTGAAGGTGTATAGGAGTTGGACAACTGAACAAAATCTTACGATAAATGTATCATATTCAAACTCTGTATGTTCCAAGATGAAAAAAGGTGAAAATTTCTGCTTGAGCTTCCTTTGTGAAAAACTACTATTGCAGAAGAAACCTGAGGATTGTCTTTATGAGAACATACATTACCTTTTGATTTTCCAAGTAGAAAGACTGATATCAGACTGGGAGCATCAGAAAAGTCAATCTGCTTCTACATTTTGGATAAGCACATTGGGCTGTTCTTCACTGCTACAGAAGGCCATTTCATGTGTTTTTAGAGGGGATGATGATGAGGAAAGGTAACTGTGGCTCAAGATGGAAAGTTATTTTCTGTTTTTCTTCATTTTTACAGATTAGAAGCTGCCAAAGATGACTATCGAATACGCTGTGAAGAACTTGAAAAGGAAATTGCAGAATTGAGACAACAAACAGAAGAGCTTACTACACTGGCAGAAGAGGCTCAGTCTTTGAAGGATGAGATAGATGTACTCAGGTAAATTCTGTTCCATTAATCCTTTTTTAACTATTAACTTTTAATTTGTGTACTTAATCTACATTATCTTTTGTTTAAATAATTTAAATATTAAATATAAATGCTTTCTCAATGCCAAGGTTGTTCTGGATCCTCCAGTTTAATTCTGCTTAAGTAAAACAGTTGTTTATTGTGTACCTTGATCACCAGCTATGAGTAGACTTAGCAGTTCTACACAATCTTATGGTTATTACAGGGCACTTGGTGATCTCTTGAGTATTTGCTACTCACCTTCATCATGACTTGGGCATCTGTTCTCGTCAGGAAACTATGCCCTTTCCTAGGTTTGCATTGTTTGGACTTTGGGTGTGCTTTTGGTTCATCAAATAATGCTAATATGAACACGTGTTGCAGCTCTCACTGTCACTGGATCTTAGCATACAAAGTTGTCATGATTTGATGATGCTAGGGGTTTGTAGGGTGGGACAACCACTTTTGCTGTGGAACATAATCCTTCAGTATTGGTGCCTTGCTGCAATGAGTTATTCAGAACAGTTACCCATTCTCTCTCCCAAGGCTTTGTTTTAATATTGCCAGCAGCTTTCTATCAAAGCTGTCTGTCTTTATCCCCTCTGTCATTAATATAAGGAATGAACCCATCAGGCTGCATAATTTCATAAACTGTCTGTGTGGGTGGCATAGGTTCGAAGAGTAATTCCTTGTTGCGAGAGAGAGGCTCTGCACTTCGCTGGGGATCATAGAGATTTGGCTTGCCTCAGAGTCTTGTAAACTGGCCCATCAATTCGGTGGGAGATTCCCTGGATTTCATAGGAAGTTGAGTCTGTAAATGATTTGGTTCAAAAATGAAACCAAGGACAGTGCTAGTGGTAGAGGGGTGGGTGGTTGTTGGGGTGTGGGCAGTTGCTGTCCTGGCAGTGCAGTGGATATATTAAAAAAACTCTGAGAAGTTGTGAACAGAGCCTGGTGTTTCTTTTCTCTCTCCCTTTTTTTTTTTTTTTAGAAGGAATCAAACTCCAAACAAATCAAACACAGTACTTTACTTCTGTGTCACCAAGTGTGAGTTGCCCAGGAGATGGATCTTTATGATTTTATTCCTGGCTCTCATTAAAACAAATTGGAGGCCAGAAAGTTTTCTTCTTTACCCTTGTAAAATGCAGAATAGAAGATAATTTGGAATTGAAAGGAAATGAGTGGGAGTGAAGTTGTGTTAACTACTGTTTTAAGATTGGAAGCAGATAAGAAAGCTGTATTAGGAAGAGTGATGGTTTCTAAAGGACCTCTATCAGCAGTAATTTGAGTTGACAAACAGTCATATGGGAGGAAAGCAAGTAATTTAAAAGTGAAAACATTAGTAATAAGAGAATATGATTGCTTTATTGTTCTCCTCCTGATGTCTGAGAATGTCTTCTGCATTAAGGCAAAATAGTGAGGAAGCATTTAACTTTGTTAGTTTTGTTTGTTTTCTGAGTTCAAATTCAATACAAATCTATCCCTTCAGGCATTCTTCTGATAAAGTAGCCAAGTTAGAAAGCCAGGTAGAGTCATACAAAAAGAAATTGGAAGATCTGGGTGATTTGCGGCGTCAAGTGAAGCTTTTAGAAGAGAAGAATACAATGTACATGCAAAATACTGTGAGCCTGGAGGAAGAATTAAGGAAGGCCAATGCAGCACGCAGTCAGCTGGAAACATACAAGAGACAGGTGAGGACAAGCACCATCAATGCAACAGTACTCTCTATTGTTCACCACTTTCTCTTCCTAATATGGTTAATACCTCAAAGTAAAAAAGAAACTATAAAAACCCAACTCCTTCTGTTTAGAAGATTTCTGTGTTTTGTAAGTACTACCTTTGTCCTCCCTTCCTGCAATTCTTGTCGTTATTACAGGTTTATATTAGTTTGCCAATAAGCAGTAGTTCTTACATTTAAAAAATCAACAGAAGTTAGGGGTTCTTTCCTAAATTATTCCCAATTCATATTCAATAGCAGGGCTTGAATTTGAGCCTCTTCTTTCAGAGAAAGTTATCTGCCTTTCGCTTAAAATTTTCCAGAAGTGAGGAATGCGCCACAGCTGAGGTAGATTATTCCTCCGGTTAAGTAACCTCTCCTTTTTAAGGTTCTAGTCTCTGATACTTCTGAATTTTTCCAGATAAGAAGAGAGAAGGACGCATGTCGTCCCTGTTGTTTATATGCACTCAGCAGAGTACAAAATGTGTCACCAGCACACTCTCTGAGTGAAAGGCATCTGCTTATCCTCCTGCTTATCAAAGTGCCATGTGATGCTGTTTCTGTAAAGGTGGACGATGTGCTTTAATCTTCTCTCTGCTTCTATGCTACAGGGACATGACATCATACTGGCATTCTTGCTACAGGGCCAGGCAGAGCATGGCTCATTAAAGTATTAGTGCCTGCTCTGTGTTTCTGCCTGATTGAATGGTCACAGCACAGGGTCCCTGTTTGTCACCTTACAGTAGAATAAAACACAGAAAAAAGCACTAACAACATTGCAAGCCCAGGAGCAATGTGTTTCCCTAAGACTTAATAGCTCTTTTTCCCTACACTTGGCCATCTCATTTATTAAGACAACTAGTTTCAGCCTCCTTGGCCTAGTTGTAAATACAGCCCAAATGTTTTCACCAGAAAAAAAGAACTTGGACAAGAAAAAAATATGAAATAACAGACAATTCCTGTAGTGGAACATGTCCTATGTATGAAGTATCCAACCCCACTCATGAGAATGCCATCAGAGGATTTTTTTCTTTGATTTGGAAGCATTGTGCTATGCAGATGTAAGTGCTTGATTCAAACTCCTGTAGTAATTTGCAAGGAAATGGCATCTCCACTGCACACAGCAGAAGCCTTTTCTAAGAAACTTTATTGCAGCATTAAGAATTGAAATGTGAAGATTCCAGGATAATTCTTTCGTAATTTAATTCAGCCCCTTTGTGCATGTGCATTCTGATATATTTTTAACAGTATGTCTTGCTTTTCTTTGTTGCAAAATTCCTGCTTTACTCATTCCGCACTGAGATAATGCTTAGTAAATGTGATGGCAGTTCATTTTTATTTTTTTTAATCTTATGCATTACCATGAAACTGTGTATCTTTCTATACCCTCACAAGTCCTAATTCAAGACAATTATACAATTTATTTCCTGCTGTGTTTTTCTGCATGCCATTACCATAGCTTGAGTGACTACAAACATTAATGCATTTTTTTCAATTTGAGGTGAAAATTTACATCTTTTGCAAGCGGGGACACAATCACAGGTGTGAAGGCCTGTGTATTTTTTTTATACCTGCATTTATTGTGATAGCCCCAGTGATGGATGTCACATCCGAGAAACTAAATATTTTCATATCTAATATTTTATTTTTTTAATGTCAGAAAATGCAGGCCTGTGCTATTTTCACGGCCTTTAATGTAAGAACAACAGCAGCAAATTCCTTCTCTAAGACTTAAGACCATGCATATTTCAGGCCTTGTAGATATTTTGCTGTAGCTGTACACATTGAAAATAAAAGGCAGTAAGAAAAACTGGCTAGTCTTAATGTAAGTAGCGCTTCACAATTTAAGTTAATCTCTTCCTGTCTAATCTGAAAGCCATGAAAAAGCCTTCTTATAAATTCCTTCAGAAGAAGCTGTATGTCTTTATCTGAGTCTTCATTGACCTTTTGTGTTTGCAGTTCAGTTTTTATTGACCTTACTTGCTTCAGTGCTCTCTGCGTTATGAGCTTTACTAATGTTCTGGGAATGAATCTTTGCTAGTAAAGGCTGAGAGTTTTGAAAAGGCAAGATTTCACTGATTTGCCTCCTACTGTGCTGAGCTTCCATGTTTCTGCTCACTTAATTTTAAAAGCTCTTTACTGATCTGTAGTTGAAAGCATACATGCGGCTTTGTTAGCAGTGTTTCTCCCCGAAATAAGGAAAACTCTTTATAAGCCTGTGACCAAATCTTTATATTAACGGATTAGAAATTATTAGGAAATCTCAGGTTAAGAAATGTTACTTGTCTCCATGAACTGGTAGGTGTAGGTAATTTGCTTTCTTCAGAGTTTTTTCTTCTTACTAGGCTTCTCAGAATGCAGGGAGATTTTTCTGCTTTTCCTAAGCTCTTTGATCCCTAGAATTACATAGCTTTTTTTCTGTAAAACTTGCTTGAGCTTAAATTCTTGTTTTAGATGTACTGAAAATACTTCACTAGTTTTTGTGTCTTTTGCTTGTACTAAGACCTAATATTTGAATGCTGTTTATTTTGCTGAAACACAGAACAACTTATGAAAGAAGTTTTAGTGTGTCCTGTAGGTAGTAATTTCACTTGTTTACAACATGACTCATGGTGCATGGTAACGGGCTACTTTGTCTTTTGTATTTTGTTTTAATATTTGCAGACACATTATTGATTCTTGTTCTCACAGGCAGTTGAACTACAAAACAGGTTATCTGAAGAGTCCAAGAAAGCTGATAAATTAGATTATGAATGCAAACGACTGAAAGAAAAAGTAGACAGCCTCCAAAAAGAAAAAGATGTAAGTGCCAAGGTGTTATTTTTTTGTTAGTAATGATAGCAACTTTGTAACACAGAGATATGGTAATTAGAGTTAGTAATCTTTTTAAATCAGGAAGTCTTTTTTCAGCTAAAATTTTCTAATGTACAAGATACTTTTTAAACCTAAGAGTTGTACAGCATGGAATAAAGTGACTGTACAAAAACATATGCAACCCATTTTTAAGAGGAAGAGCATTCTTATTTGGCATCTGAAGTTGTTTACTATTTACCATGAGAAGGTTAATAAATACCCAGGGTAATTTTCATGTATTCTGAAAAACTGTCTACAGTAGGGTTTCTATGGTATCATCTTAGAACTAAACTCCTGTTGCATTTTTTTTTTCTAAGGCGTTCTTCGAGGTACCATCAGTGCACTTCTCTTTGGGGAGTCATGATTACTGTAGCAAGAGGCTTAGTAGTTGTGTAGAGGGAAGTGTCCTTTGTGGCGATCTCACCTTTTATGACAACTCCTTGTTGATCTATCTTACACTGCCAACATGGAACACACAGGGTAGATACTAACCTGTCCCCTTCCACTGGTGTCATTTGCTGCTAGTGATTCTGCAATTGATTGCTCTCTTTTGCCAATACTGATCCTTCAAACTTCTCTTGCACACTGTTGTTTCTTACCAGTTTACTTTGGCTTGTTTCTTGGGAATGTATGTGCAGGTGCCTCAGACTACCTCAAACCAAGGTCAGCACTTTGAGTTAGCAGTTTCTTAGACATGTTGTAATTATCAGTCCATCAATACAGCTGTCAGAAGCTCTGTAGGCTTTTTCCTCAATAGTCATATTTCATGTCCAGTTCTTTCTGAAATTTCCAGGCCCTGCACCTGAATATCATTTCAACTGAAAGTTTTCAGTTATTTTATGTTCATAGGTCATTGATTTCTATTTTTTATTAAATTTTTGGACACTTGACCTTCAGATCACTTCAATCTGCCTTTCATTTCAGGCTGAAATGCTTGTAGTAATTGTATTTGTACTGCGCTTTGGCTTTCTTTCCTGCTCTTTATTTTTAAATTGGGGTGTTTTTTTTCCCCAGTGCTTTTGTTTGACAGTGGTAAAGTTGTCTCTGTGGCTTATCCATTGCTTAGTGGACCATTTCATCTTGCACAAAGGATCTGAATTGCAGGCCATTGTCATACAGTTTTCCATTTTACCCCCTGACAAATAGTATTTTTTTGGGCTGTTTTTAAGTATATTCTTTTGGATGCCTGTGAGAAATAGATTACAGCTAGAAGTCTCTCATCATATGGATGTAGTGATTCACTCACTGTCAGTTACCTACTCTTTCTGTTCCCTCTTGTCACAATACTTATCAGTAAGGTAGCCCACCACAGGTCATAAGCTATGTAGTGCTATCTTGTTAGTTATATTTTGGATGCAGTTACTGAAATTGATTTTATCCTTTTCTTTATGTTCTGGCAAAGCATGGTAGTGTGTTTGATATCTTCAGCTATGTAGCTTGGAACTTTACCTCTGTGGTGTGTTATGTGATAAGTACTAAGATAATTTGATGAGTTGCTTGTCTAAATGAACCCCTTGAGCTTTTTCTAGCCATTACAATATTCTGGCATTTGATAATCAACTGCTAATAGAATGAAATGCAAGGACCTCTCAGCTAACACAACTTCATACCTACACAGAGCCAAGATCTGTCCTGGACCATTTAGTAATACTGAACGTATCTAATTTTGGAGCAAACTGCAGCTTGGATCATTACAGAGTTGCCATTTTCTTCTTTCGTTTTTGACTCTTGGCAACATTCTGCACAAAGACTTGGTGCTATCTGTAGATTCTCATTTTTTTTGCCAGAAGGCGACTTGTGCCAAACTGAGAGAGTATTTGCCTGATGCTACTAAATAACGAATCTCTCTGGATCCCAAGGTGGTCCAGTCCTGTTCTTCAGTTCTCTTTGGACCGAGTCTTAAGCAACTAGTTTTCTTTTATGGCCAAGATTCTGATGAGTGGCAAGGCCAGCTGATACACAGGTGGAATGGGATATGGAAATGCTGCTCACACTTTCACTGGTAAAAGAAAAGCAAAATGGAGTTAAAGCAGTTTGTTTATGTTGACTGTGCACTCGCCTGCTCTTTATTTCGCTCCTGTGTAAACCTTGGATACATGGTGAGGGAAAATTCTGTGTTCTCTTAATTCCCTTCCCTTTGCCTTGGAATCAGCCCCAATGAAAGGAAAAGGAAAATGTCTGACTGACCACAGTGGATGCAATTTACTACCCATACTGTAACTTTGCATGTCTAATTATCTCAATTTTGTAAGCTTATACCCTGTTTTTTCTAGCCTCTTAAGATCAGCAACTCTTCTTCAAAAAAACACCACTGGCCATGTGGAATATATAATACTTAAATTTATTGTATTGTGAAATAGACTGAGATACCTTAATTTCAAAATAATCTAGAATTGCATTAAATTCTTTCTGAAGTGTTGAAGTCTATGCCTTTTGGTGACCTGTATACTGTTAAAGATGGGTGTGTAGTGCCAAGACTGATGTTTGTTATTTGTTCTCTTTCCAATTGTTCTCTTTCCCATTGTTCTCTTTCTGATTATTCAGAGATTAAGAACAGAAAGGGATTCCTTGAAAGAAACTATTGAAGAGCTTAGATGTGTACAAGCTCAGGAGGGTCAACTCACCACTACAGGTAAAAGACAAATAAGGAGATTAAATGCCTCTTTTCTAAAGTTTACAGGACCTCTCTGGAGAGTATTGATTGTGCTTTTGTTTAGCGCACAATAAGTTTAAGCTCCTCTAAAATCAGAAGTGAAAAACTGCTTCAACTATTCATAACTTCCTGACCAAGCAAAGACTTCGCATATTACTTCAGTCAATCAGAAATTTTACTCTCTTCCCTGGTGTGATATTTTTATAATGTATATCTGATTTCTGTGTAGTTACATAATTTTCTTTAGAGACATATTTTTTCATGATGTTTCATGTGTTATGGTTCATTTCTATCTGTAATGTTTCATAGCTTTGTAGTTCTTAGATAAGCTAATGAGCAGAAAAGAAATTGCAAAATAATTTCTTCAGAATGGATGAAGTCTGAAGTAATTATTAATCTCCAAATGAAATGGTGCTTGCCTGTCTGTCTTACTGTAGCCTTTGTGTCATTTTACATTGTCTAGCAGTAGTCTAAAACTGTAAATTTCTTAAACAGTGTTTACTTCTTTTCATGTGAAGAAAGTAAGTGGTGTGCTTGCAAAATTTTTGACTTTTCCTTACTCAGGATTGATGCCTCTGGGAAGACAAGAGCCTTCCGACAGTTTAGCAGCAGAAATCATTACTCCTGAAATAAAGTAAGCTAATATGTGCTTTGTTTTACTAACCTTTACAGTGGTCTATGGCAAGTTGAGTCTGAGTCAGCAGTGCCCTGGTAGCCAGGAGGGCCAACCCTGTCCTGGGGGCATCAGGCAAAGCATCAGCCGGGTGAGGGAGGGGATTGTCCCGCTCTGCTCTGGCCTGGGGTGGCCCCAGCCTGCATATTGTGGCAGTTTGGGGCACTGCAATATAAGAAGCACATAAAGCTATTATAGAGTATCCAGAGGAGGGCCATGAGGATGGTGAAGGGACTGGAGGGGAAACCGTATGAGGAACAGCTGAAGTCACTTGGTCTGTTCAGCCTGGAGAAGACCTCATGGTGGTCTTGTGAACTCTGAGGGGAGACCTCATGGTGATCTTCATCTTCCTAGTGAGGGGAAGAGGAGGGGCAGACATTGATCTCTTCGCTGGGGTTACCAGTGACAGAACCTGAGGGAATGACCTGAAGTTGTGTCAGGGGAGGTTTAGATTGGATATTAGGAAAAGATTCTTCCCCCAGAGGGCGGTTGGGCACTGAACAGGCTTCCCAGGGGAGTGGTCACAGCATCAAGCCTGACAGAGTTCAAGAAGATGAGGCTCAGTTGGCATGGTGTGGTTCTTGGGGATGGTTCTGAGCAGGGCCAGGAGTTCGACTTTGATGATTCCTGTGGGCTACAAAATTCCTGGATTTTCTCTAAGCATACATGTTTCCATGTACACTGTTTCCAGCAGGAAGGTGGCTTCCATGCCTGTTAGAGATGGACAGTAGCAGTGACTGCTGTATGTCTGAAACTTCCTGATCTGGAGGTCCAGGTTTTTGCTTCTGCTGATGAATGGGGAAGACTGCACAAAGCAGCCCTCTACAGAAGTAGCTATAGTGCTCTCTTGACCCCCCCATGGTGACAGAACATGGCACCTTTCTTGGTCCCCTAGAGAAGACCTGCAGACCAAATGGGAGTATTTCCTGAGGCAGTTCAGTCTGTGGCCTATCAGATTACCTGTGGTAATCAGCAAATTAAAGTGACACAAGGAGTTGTCAAGGCTCATTGAAAAAGCTTTAAACTAGATTTAAAGGGGAAATGGATAAAACCAGGCTCACCAGAGATAAGCCGGGAACCCTGTTGTTCTGTTTTCACAGAATCATTGGGGCATTCACAGCTTCTGAGGGCAACCTGTGCCAGTGCCTCAAAACGCTCACCACCTTCAAAAGAATTTTTTTTCTCATATCTAATCCAAATATTTTTTACTTTGAAACCATTCCCCCTTGTCTTTTCACTCCATGTCCTTGTAAAATTCCCTTTCCAGCTCACTTGTAGACTTGCTGCAGGTACTGGAAGGGTTCTCTGAGATATCCCTGGATCTTCCTTGGCTTGAACAACCCCAACTCTCTCAGCCTTTCCTCATAGGAGAGGTATTCCATCCCTGTGATCAACTCAGTGGCCTCCTCTGCACTCACTTCAACTGGTCCTGTACTGAGCACCCCAGAGCTGGATGCAGTGTTACATGTGGGATCTCACCAGAGCAGACTAGAAGGACAGAATCCCCTCCCTTTCTCTGCTGGTCACACTGCTTTTGATGCAGCCCAGGACACAATTGGCTTTCTGGGCTGTGAGTGCCCATTGCTGGGTCATGTCCAGCCTCTCACCCACCAGCACCCCCAGGTCCTTCTCAGCAGGGCTGCTCTCGATCTGTTCATCCCCAGCCTGTGCTGATACTGGGAGTTGCCCTGACCCAAGTGCAGTACTGTGCACTTAGCCTTGTTGAACCTTATGAGTTTTCTATGGGCCCACTTCTTGAGCTTGTCCAGGTCCCTCTGGATGGCATCCTGTTATTCAGGTGTAGATTTGGGGGTGTTGTGTAACGGCTGAACATGAGCCAGCAGTGTGCTCAGGTGCCAAGAAGGCCAGTGGCATCCTACCTTGTATCAGCAGTAGTGTGGCCTGCAGGACCAGGGCAGTGATTGTCCCCCTGTACTCAGCACCGTTGAGGCTACACCTTGAGTGCTGTGTCCAGTTCTAGGCCCCTCACTTCAATAAGGACATTAAGGTGCTAGAGCATGTCCAGGAAAGGAAAATGGAGCCAGTGAAGAGTCTAGAGTATAAATCATACAAGGAGCAGGGGGGAGGAGGTGTTTATTCTGGAGAAAAGGAGGCTCAGGGGTGACCTTGTCACTCTCTACCACCACCTGAAAGGAGGTTTTAACATGGCGGGGGTTGGTCTCTTCTCCCAGGTAATAAGAGGTGGGACAAGAGGAAATGGTCTCAAGTTGTGCCAGGGGAGATTTAGACTGGCTATTTGGAATCAAGTGTTGTTTAGCATTGGAACAGCCTACCCAGAGAAGTGTTTAAATCACCATCTCTGAAGGTATTTGAGAAATGTGTAGATGTGGTGCCTGGGGACATGGTTCTGTGGTGGACTTGGCAGTGCTGGGTTTATGTTTAGATTTGATGATCTTAATAGTCTTTTTCAGCCCAAATGATTCTGTGAAAACAGATCAACAGGGTTGAAGTTACTTGCTCAGGTTTATGCAGTAGTTCAGTGAGCTGAGATTACAGCCTTCCTTCACACTTGGGTATTGAGTTTTGCCTTCTTCGTGTTCGCCCTATAAATCTATTCAGCTGTACTCTTGAGCTCTAATAGGGGTACTCAGGTGATTTCCTTGTGTTGTGCTTTCTACAGTTACGGTTACTTAAATTAAGTTTGTGTTTGGGGTTTTAAAGAGACATGGTTGTTGTCTTCAGCTGTCTTAAACTGTCTTGCTTGAATAGGTAAAGATGATATTTGTAAAGGTGATACTACCTGTGGTAAACTGTCTTCTTTGTTATAGAGTCTGGCATTCTTTTTTCTACAAAATTGTGTTTTATGTGTTTAGGGAGAAACTCATTCGCCTTCAGCATGAGAACAAGATGTTAAAATTGAACCAAGAAGGTTCTGACAATGAAAAGATTGCCTTGTTGCAGAGCCTTCTTGATGATGCAAACTTACGGAAGAATGAACTGGAGACAGAAAACAGGTAAGAATTTTTGTCCTCTGTTTCACTTGACTTTTCTAATAATGCCATATACTTTTGACTGTACTGTGTCCAATACAGGCATCCCCAGGACAAGAAAGACATGGACTTAGTGGAGTCAGTACTGTGAAAGGCCACAGTGGTGTGATTACAGGACTGCTGTGTCTTTCATGAGTAGAATCTGAAGGATAGAGACTATGTAGCCTGGAAAAGAGAAGGCTCAGGGTGGATCTTATCAATATATCTTACCAAAGTATCTGATGGGAGAGTCTAAAGGAGATAGAGCTAGACTCTTCTCTGTGATGCTCAGTAAAAGAGCAAGAGGCAGTGGGCAGAGCTTAAAACACATTTTATTTTGTTTGAATGTAAGAACATACTTTTTTTTTTTTGCTGTGAGAGTTGCTGAACACTGGATTATGTTGCCTAGAGAGGTTGTCTCCATCCTTGGGGATATTTAAAACTCAACAGGACATGTTCCCAGGCAACCTGCTCTAGCTGACCCTGCTAGATTGAGGCAATCATACAGATATCCATGGGACCAGAAAGTGCATCTGAGCATGCCACAGTAGTTGGCTGTTGATGTGAGGCTGCTGTCTGTCTAACCTTCCTCTGTCTCCCCCTTCAATTGGGTAAAGCACGTGAAGCCTGGGAAAAGGTAAATGCTGCACTCACCTTCAAGAAGGGCAAGAAAAAGAGTATGAAGAACTACAGAGACTGGTCAGCCACAGCTCACTTTCTGGGAAATTCATAAAGCAACTCCATCCAGAATCTGTTTCTAGTTGCATGAGGGACAAGAAAATAATTGGGAAAGGTTAACATGAATTTATTCAGAGCAAATCATGCGTAACTAAACCAATTGTCTTGATGATGATATGACTGCACATCTGAAGAAGGGTGAACAGAGGATGGTACTTAGCTTAGCTTCAGTAAAGCCTTTGGCACAGTGTCCCATGGTATCCTTATGTTTAGAATGGTTAGATATAAACTGAAGAAGTGGGCACTAAAGTGATCAGAAAATTGGCTGGACAGTGGTTGGACAGCTGAGTCTAATATGTTATTGTTAGTGATATGAAACCCAAGTGGCAACCAGTTCCTCAGGCTTCAATACCAGGACCAGTGCTGTCCATCACCTTTATAAACAGCTTGACTGATGAGAGGGACTACTCTCTCAGCAGGTTTGAGGATGGTACCACTTTGGGAGGAGCCACTGATATCCTGAAAGGGAGAGCTGTTATTCAGAGGTGCTCAACAGTACAGAGAAATGAGCTGATGGGAGCCCTGTCCCTGGCTAGGAGCAGTAGGCTGTGGAGCAGCTCTGCTGCCAAAGCCTCGGGGTTCTACTGGGCAGCAAAGTAGGATGTGTTATCTGGGGACATTGCAGTTGACTATGATCTTGACTGCCCTCAGCAAGGTGCAAACAATCACTCTGAGAAAATGATTGTTCACCTCTCGTCAGTACTTAAGATATCACATGTGGACGTAATATATAATTTTGGATTCCCCAGTAGAAGAAAGAGGTGGATGTGTAGGAGTGCAGCAGAACACCTCTGAGGTGAGGGATGCTGGAGCATGTGATAGGGGGAGAACAAAATCAAGAACTGGGTTTGTCCGGGCCAAAGAAAAGGTGGATTAGAGGAGATCATACTGTCGTCTGCATCTGCGTGATGGGAAGGTCTCAAGAAGGCAGAGTCAGGCTCTTCTCAAGAGACTGTAAGTGGAAGGACAAGAGGCAACAGACGCAATATGGAGTACAGGTCTGAGCTCTAGAAGAGAAGCTCAAAGGCCTCTATCCTTAGAAGTGTCCAAACCTGGTACTGGTTCCCACCAATCTGCTGTAGGTGCACCTGCTTTAAGGAGGAGGCTGGATTTAGACAACCTCTGGAGATCCCTTTCCAACCTACGGGTCTATAGGATTCTGTAACTGTGTAAAAGCAGTAAGCTAGCAGCTCTCACACAGTAAACTGATCATTAGAAACTCCTGTTTCATGTGTATAGAAATGATTTCTGCATGCATTTATGTTGTCCTGGAAGAGTATCAGAATGTTCTGGATGACAATAGTGAATGTTAGTGATTTTTATGTAAATTTTTTTGTGAATAAATTACAGTATTGCACCTGTTGTGTAGATAATCTGAAAACACTGGACACTAAAAATCTGACTTCCTCTTGCAGTTGTTTGGGGTTTTTTCTGAAAAACATATGTTGTTTCTGTTATCTCTTTCCTAGATTGGTAAATCAGAGACTTCTAGAAGTGCAGTCCCAGGTTGAAGAACTACAAAAATCTTTACAGGATCAAGGTTCAAAAGCTGAAGATGTAAGTAGAAATATGCATCAAACTTACATTCGAGTACTTACCATTTTTGAAACTTTGACCTTTTTGTAAAAAAAACTATGTAAAAGAAATATACACACAGATTTCTGATAGTTTTCCATATTTACTCGTGTGGTCTTATCACTAAATTGTGCTTCTCTAAATAGGATGTGAGATATTTGTGTAGAATAGAAAACCATCCTATGTAGAGAAGGTGTCAAATATGTTTTATTTGAATAATTGTGTCTGTTCCAATAGAAAACTTAGCATTTATTTAATTAGAATAGAGAGTTTTACAGGGAATTAGGGAAATGTTGATTCTCCGTGAATAAAGTATTTGAAGTTATTTTTGGTTTAGTTTTCTTAATGAGAATTAAGGCCTTTCCAGCCAGTGGAAGCTCTGCAATTGTTGATGTAAATGTATCTCATAATGGAAAAAAACAGGCAGACCAAAACTGAAAAAAAAAAAAAAGTAAAATAATTAGGCCCTCAACATCATGCAGCATTTTCTGTTTCTATATACAGAGTTAAGTTTATTTTAAATGTAAGAATACATATTGCAGCTGAGTTACTGTGGAAAACAACTTTCAGTCTTCCACTCAAAAATTGCTTACCATCTTCTGTATTTGAAAAAAGAAGCTCTAGAACTTTCTTGAAAGCAGTGATTTGTTGGATTGTACATGCACAGTGTATGCTCACACTCTCAGTGTATTGTGTTGCTAATTGGCAACAAATTTTAATGTGTTGCTTTTTATTTTTGTGGGTTTGTTTTAACTAATTTATATAAAATATGGAAGTTTCTACTAGCTGCTTATGTTCATTTAAGAGTGTGTTTAATTTAGCTTATCCTTTTAATTTTCAGAATAAACTATATGAATGTAAAACATCTAGTTGATTTCCAATAAGATTATTTTCCTAAGTAACTTAGGGCGTATTTTAGAACGCATTTTAAAATAGGCCCATTCTGAGATGTTCTTTGTCTTGGTTATTGGCCAAAGTCAAATTTTTCAGGATGAACTAGAATATGAAAAAATTATTCTCAGGCATTGACTATTGTAAATGGTCAATTTTTCTAGTTGTATTCAGCTTTATTTACTATGATTTTAATTGTGTCCCTTTTTGAGGCTCTGGTTGGGACAGAAATTTAGGATGTGTCTGCATCTCGCTTACAGGACTGATTGCAGCCTGTGTAGGTGCCATCTGAAATGATTCTGTTGACAGCACAACACCACGGCACAGCCTCTGTGTGTGCCAGGCAGCCCTTGTCAAATCAGAGCTGGCAAGTTCGTGGTGCAGTTGCTGCACTCACAACCTCTGTGTAGGTCTGACCATAACACTGGTGATTTATGGGCCCTAATCCCATGGCCTGTTTCGCTTAGTCTGGTGTGTAGGATTTCATTTAGTCCTAAAGAAGCAAAAGAGTGAGTGTAGACTCAGAGAAGGGTTGAGGATGCAAGAACCTCTGACGTTATGGTCACCACATGCAGTCTCCCTGACAAAGCAAAGCAAACCTCAGAAGTTAAACCCAGCTGCTTAAGTAGATGGAAGTTGGGGCTAACTGAGTTACCCATAAGGTATTGATACAAACAGAGGGATTCTTCAGAAACATGAGAAAAAATGTTAGGAGACACATGGCGTACAGTTCATTGATAGATCATTTTCAGCACGTTTCCTCTGTTTTTTCATTACTTTTCTGCAACAATGCACAGAAATCCATATTTTTATATACTTAGACTTTAGATGTGCTCAATCCAGAAAACCAAAGACTCCAGTTTAATTAAAAAATGTGTGATGAGTGATGAGGTCTGGTTTTTGTTGAGGTTTTGTTTGGTTTTAAAGTTGAAGTTATTTTTAGGCCTGTAAGTAGTAGAAGTACTACCCTAACACAGGCAAGTGTCATTGTGGAGAAGCATGCTGTGTGCCAAGGTCCATACGGGGAAGCAGTTTTGATTTTGTATTGAAGTGCAGTGGAAGGCAGCTGTTCAAAAGGTGTCGCTGCCGTTGGGCCTGTTATGGGCACTGACGTGTTCTCTTGGGATGAATGATTAGTCCATCCTGGCTGTTGCCTTGCTGACCAGGGAAAAGCCTCCTTACCCCAGCCTTCCGGACTATAGAATCAACTCAGACATGTCTCATGTGGTCAGAATAGGTTTGATTTATTGTCCTTTAGAAACCATAGTCGTGTGGGGCTACTCAGCTGTTACCCCAAACAGTTTCGACTAAATCATTTGTATGCTTACCATCACTGTCCTTTCTCATCCTTGTTCTCATGTTCTCTGCCCTCATCCCTTCCTATATAAACACTGCCTTTAGTTACTTCTGCCCCACTTGCTAAGTCCATCCCACACCTGATGTTTCTCATAATGTTACACATGCGAACTTGGTCTTATGTGCTGTTACTGACACAACACCTGCCAAGAAGGTCCCCACAACTCTGTTACCTGTGAAGTTTGGCCACTTTGCTCGTTTGGTGAAACACTGGTTGCCTGGAGAAGGTGTGGATGCCCCATCCATGGAAGCATTCAAGGTTGGGCGGGGCTCTGAGCAACCTGATCTCATTGAAGATGTCCCCACTTACTGCGGGGAATTTGGCTGAGACCTTTAAAGGTCCCTACCAACCCAAACAATTCTGTGATTACTCTTAACATCTGTGAAATCTGACCATCCCTTGTGGTGTTGTTTATAACTTTCATCATCTTCTCACAGCCTTACCAGTTTCATCAAGCAATTTTCTGAAGTGATGTCCCACAGTTTCCCTTACCCTGCTAAGTCAGCTTAACTTCAAGCCAGAGCCTAGCCTGTAACATTAACATATAAAACAAAACCAAATTTTGTCCTGAAAAGGTGGACAGACCTGTTTCTTTGGCTTTTTAAGTATGAAAGAAATTTCCAGCAAAAAGACTTTTTTTCAGTATTTTTTTAATGCAAAAGAAAGATAGCAATTGGATAGCTGTTTCCTAAAACCACACTGCAATAAGTATTTTGTACTGCTGTTTTGTAAGTGGAACTTGGCTGCAGCCGGAGGAAAAAACAAATTACTAAGTGTGCATTTGCTGATTTTTACAGTTTTGTTATAGATATGTGTTTCTATTATGAACAGATAAAACATTTTAATGAAGTTAAATGTAAAGCTGGGTCAAAATTAGGTAAAGGTTTTGTTTGGGTTTTTTTGGGTTTTTTTAGACTGGGATTTTTATAGGAAACTTCCTATGATATAACAACAATTATAGTAATTACACTGTAGAAGCAGAAGATTTGTGTATGAGTCCTTAAAGCTTACTGAGGCTGCAAAAAAACCAGGAGTAATGTTTGCCCATTTTTAGAGTAATTTATTTGAATTTATCTACCTGGCTACAAGTATATGCAGGATCTTTGGGTGGGTAAAATTATACATTTTATGTTTTAGTCTTTTTCCTAATATTGTCTTTTGGGTAAATTGCTGTGGGTAAACTCAGTTCTGCTTCTTTTAGTTACTTATCACAATTAGTGCTATTTATCACAATTAGTGTTATTTATTTAGTTTCTAACTTGTGAGAACATGATCTGTTTTGGTGGGAGAGGGGTTACTCCCACAACAGTGCAGGTAGGAGGCAAACAAGTGCAGAAATACAGCAGTGAATGTGGACTGGTAGTTGTGTCTGTGCCAAGCTAAACCCAAGTGCAATAGAAGGACGGCAAAAGAAAAGCTGAGTTCAGTTTTTATTAGGGAAATGGGCACTGCTTCCAACTTTTTCCTATCCTGTCCTAACCAACCAGTAGTCCCCTGAATGATCAGATGTAAGTGGTGATGCCAGTTCAAATGGTTTGTGACCGAGAAAGATGCATACAAATATTTTTTTTGTTACAGAAAAGGTGATGTTGCTACAGTTGTTCAGAGGACTGGAAAATTAAAAAGCCACATGGTCAAAACATGCAAATCCTTAAGCGCTACAAATTTCTGACTGTGAAATCAACAGAGTCTTGCTGGCTCATTTTTACAGCTCTCCACCTTGCTTATAGTGGCAATAAGAAAATCTCATTTGAAATAATGTAAAAACACCCCCCAGGAATGTGATCAAAGACAGTATTTTGAAGTATAGCCAAGCTAAAAAGCAATATTTCTATTAGCAAGGTGTCTAAACCTTTATTGAAAGAGCATTGTATAAAAAACAATGAAGTAATTTTGTTGATGATTTTATCTAATAATTTGATGGTGATCTGGACCATCAGTCACGTGCTAAACCTCAGGCATGATTAGTACTGGATAAATACAAACCAAAATGGCATTTTCAGATTTAAATGTTCTACGTTGTTTTGTATTCAATCAGTGTGGCAATTAGACAATTCAGCATCACACCACAAAAACACACACATGCATCCCTTAATTTTTATTGTAGCCCAAGAGACTGCTTGTTTCCCTTAGCTTTGTTGGTTGTATGATTTTTATTTTAAAATGACTTTCCAAAATAGCAGTTGCTCTCTTTTGAAATTCTGTGTTTAAAAACAATGATTTATAAATGTGCTTCCTTATTATTTTTACATTTTTGGGTTTAGTGATGTGTTTTAGAAAATGTTACAGGATGAAATTGCTCATAAGAACAGAGGAAAAAATTGCGCATGCGTGAAAAAGTACATAGCTTTAACTTTTTCTGTTCATGACTTTCTAAATAGTTTCTTCTGTTGGCTGCTGTTTTGCTTTATACTAATGTCATCTCTGTTTCTTGGCATGGGCTTCTGCTCAAGGCTATTGTGAGTATGGCTTTCTATTTACTTAACACTACTTTCAGTTCGTAGACATTTATTGGGTTTATTTTTTTTTTGAAAGATACTCACAGTGTATGAAGTGAGTTTAAAATTTAAAATTTTCCTCAAAGCTTTTATTTAAAGAGCTTATCTAAATGTGATTTAACCAGAAAGTGGAACACTGTAAGTTGTATGGTAATTTTTATGTGTCTGTAATCAGTAAAGATAAGAAACAGAAAAAAGGTAGAATTTCTGCTATACTTCAGTCAGAAATACTCTACTCCTTCTGGTTTCTGTGGGGATGGGAATTTACTTCAACTAATTTGCTACATGTCTTCATGCAAATTGCAGTGCAATGTTGGTAGGATAGCTCTTCTTGCAAATTTTGGTGCACTTTTCAATTTCAGGTTAATTTACCAAGTCTAATTACAAAAGAACCGAACAAATTAAAACAATAGAATTTTGTCATTTATGGATCTTGCTTTTACTGATCTAGTTCCTGGGGAAATATTAGTAAAGTTCTAAAGCATTCTAATTTTGCTGAAGTCACACAGTTGTGGAGAGAAAGATTGCTACCACAGAGGGTCCTTTATAGTTGTGATCTAAAACTGAAGTAAAAAAGTTGTATTTTGATTAGAATGTGAAAATTACATGTTTTAAAATAATTTTAAAGTTATGTTAAAGCTTCACAATATATTAAAATAAAATGTTTAACTTTCTGTTTTAGTCAAGTCTTCTGAAAAAGAAACTTGAAGAACATCTGTAAGTATTTCTGTTTGCCTGTTTTGTTTGCAATTTGAAATGGTGTGTTTTCCGTATGATAAGGAAGGCAGACAGTCATTAATCCTGGATCTGGAAAATATACAGCTCAGAGAAATTAGATAACACAGGAATGTTTGGGAATCTGCTGTTCAGATTCCATTTTTATTTCATACAGAGCCATTGTGAAAGCAATAAGAGCGATGAAAAAAACATCATTTTGTGCTGGTTAGAAAACTTTACTTAACATTGTGTAAATCTTTGCTCTGAAGGACTAAGTAATTTTGTTCTAAGGAAAGCATGTTATATATAAACAAAATTAATTTGTTTACTCTTTAGTACGTATTATGACACAAGAGGTAATACTTTAGGGAGTCCTATCATTTTGTTGCACTATTTTTGCACATCTTTTACTTGCCTAAAATGCAAAGAGATGTTTGCTTTTTGACTGTCTTGCAGAAAAAAGTTTCTGTTGCCTTTGGGTTTAGCCTTTCTTTCTCAGTGTAGTCTCCGTTATCAGTATTCATTTCAGGCACTCACTGTACAACTAACTCTTAAATTCTAACTTAAAGAAACTGTTTGCTGTTGCAGTTCTCCATAGACCATAATATTTTTCATCTTACTTAACAAATATTTTCACAGTCACGCTGTCACTTGTCCTCATGCCCTACAGCAAAAAAAAAATCAATCATGCTCTCAGAAATGTATCACTCTCTGAGGATTTTCTGTACTGCTTAGTGGTCATTCAAGCACAGTAATAATACTGGGAAAACAATATGTGCTTTTGTGGTTTGTAACAGTGAGAAGCTCCATGAAGCTAACAATGAGCTACAGAAGAAACGAGCTATTATTGAAGATTTGGAACCAAGATGCAATAACAGTTGTGAGTTACCTGTGCAGTCCATTTCTTTTCTTTGTAAAGTATTTCATGTGCAAGGTCTTTAATTTTAATACCTAAAGGAGGTGTCAGGTAAGCAAAATGTACATTTTTAGTGGAAGTGACATCTATGTTATTAATTTCTCTGAAAACTGTGGTGACCAAAAAGATGGTTCTAACACTTGACGTGCATGGGATAACATTTTAGAGACCACTGTAGTAAGAAATCATAGAATCACAGAACGTTAAGGGATTGGAATGGACCTTAGAGATCATCTAGTCCTGACCCCCACTGACTATGGTCATAGAAATATCAGGTCACTGTCATAACTGCCACTGAACTTCAGATGTTCAGAACTGTCATGTCTCATAAGACCCTAATTTAGAAGATCCTTTCTACCATCACGATTTTATTTTTACTTTCAATATATATTCCTTCAGTGTGTTTTCAAAAATATGTTGTAATATATATATATATATATAATATATGTCATATTGCTCAGATGGTATCCAGCACCCAGAGTCTAGTTGGGTTTTAGAACCTTACTGCTACATGTTTTCCAGAGAAGTAATGAAGGAGGTAGTTTGGTTTTTTTTCCCAGGACTGTTTATAATAGAACAACTTAAAAGATTGTAACTGATGGCAGTTTTTTTGATTTGTGGTAAAATGATTTCATTCGTAACAAGGTGGTGGAAAAACCAGAAAAAGATAACAGTTTTCTGAGGTCTGAAAAGCTGTATAAAGATGTAAAAGTAATAGTGGCTCGACATACACTTATACCAACACAGGAAAAAGCTGTGCAATGAAATTGTCCTACTGGTCTCCATTGCTGCTTAAGAAAATGTGAGGAGAAAATTATATTTTTATATGTCATATTTCTAATAAAATGTGTCCAGTGTTACAGTTTAGCAGATTTAAGCAAGAGTTGTGCCTGGTAAGAATTATTCCTCTTACAAAATAGGAAAAATCATATTTGTCTGTATTACATGCCAAGATATTATAGAAGCTGTAAGTCATTAGTAAACTAGTTTTCTAAGTGTGTTCAGTAAAGAGATTTATTGATTATTCCATTTCTCTTTATTTTTCATAATTTCAAAAAGCAAAATTTGTGTAAAAAAAGCTGTCCTATGAGATTATATGGAAGTACACATTTGTAGTGTGTTTCTGAGCTGTTCAATAATTAAAACTGTGATATCTGCTAAATCAGGTTCCTTATGTCAGCTTCTCTTAACTGAAATATATTTTAGCTGTGTCTTAAATGTCTGTTGTAAAACATTAAAATATGCATAATATAATGATGGTATTTTCCAATGTGTCCCTCTCCCGACATAAAGCACTTAAAATTGAAGAATTACAAGAAGCTTTACGGAAGAAGGAGGAGGAAATGAAACAAATGGAAGAACGATACAAAAAGTATTTGGAAAAGGCCAAAAGTGTAAGTCGATGTGTTTCATGTTAATCATCCTGCTCTGACAGACTGCATTCCATGTGCACTTTGTGGGAATAAAAATAAAGGAGTTATCTGTATGCACACTACTAACAAGTAAAAGAGAAGGAAGGTCCAGTGAGTTCTTTGTATCTTCTTATTGTTACAGTACCTAATATGGATTAATTCTGCAGAAGATTTTACCCCGTTTTTGTGACTCTTTTATTGATGCTTTTTCCGAGTAAAGTGATCTTTTTAACTGTACCACCTTTTCATAGCTGTTACATTCAACTGATGATGTTCAGCATTCCCTTTGCCTTTATCTAACACATGCTTCTGTCGAGAAGGTGACTAATATTTAAGTATGATATTGAGGGTGTGGGTACACTACCAGCTTTGAAATTACGATATTGTGTTCTCAATCACAGTCACATTCCTTCTCTTACTATACTTTGATATTTTGTTTGAGTTTCTCAAAAGCATATCAGTGTCTTTGTTCATCTGACCATGGTGTAGTATCATTTGCATTGGATACGTGTCACTACATTGGAATCTGCAAGTAGGTTCCTAATCTGGCAAAATTTAATCGTGTCTTCCTTTACTTCTGTGTAATTTCCTGAATGACTTCTTGTGAGATGTTTCAAAAGTCTTCAGGAAATCTAAACAAATAATTTTTTTCAATTTTAACTTTTTGTAATCTTTTTGTCAAAAAAAAATTATTATTTTTTCCATTTCTTATTGTTGTTATTGTTGGTTTCTGGTGGGGTTTTTTTGTGAAGATCAGTAGAGTCATTATACTCTTCCACTATACAAAGTGCATTCAGGTCTAACATGTATTTTCTTAGAAAAATAGCATGCTTTTGTAGAATCATAGAATCATTAAGGTTGGAAAAGACATCCAAGATCATAGAGTCCATCCTTTGACTCATCACCACCTTGTCAACTAGACCATGGCACCAAGTGCCACATCCAGTTGCTTCTGGAACACCTCCAGGGATGGTGACTCCACCACCTCCCTGGGCAGTCTGTTCCAATGTTTAACAACTCTTTCCATGAAGAAATTCCTCAGATGTTTTAATGCATCATGGTTAATGAGAGAAGTAGATGTGTTTTAAGTCACGTTTTTTGTTTCTTAACCTGACTTAAAAGGTCCTTAATCCTTAACATGATTGCTTTTTCAGGATTTAGTGAAAGACAAACTGGTTTTCTTTTACAGGTCATCCGCACATTAGATCCTAAACAGAACCAGGGTGCTGCTCCTGAGATTCAGGCGCTGAAAAATCAGTTGCAGGAGCGGGACAGAATGTTTCATTCTCTGGAGGTAGCAATCCTTGTGTTTTGTGGCAGATGATAATTGTTTTTTAGTTAGAGACTTAACACTTTTGTTATACTTTGGTTTTCAATCTATGCTTTTTTTTATGTTTTGTAGAAAGAATATGAGAAAACAAAAAGTCAAAGAGAAATGGAGGAAAAATTTATCGTTAGTGCCTGGTACAATATGGTAAGAATCTACCAAACTTTTTATTTGAAAAAAAAAAAAAAAAGAGGAAAGAAGATGTTAATATTACTTGTTTATGGCTTGTTTATAACAGTATTCATTCATTGACAGTAATTTTGGTTGGAAGGCATTTTCCAACACACAAGCACGGAAACAAATACTTTTTAGTAATTTTAAGCTATCACTGTATAAAAGTATGTTCCTGTGATAACCTTGGGGTAAATTAAAAGGAACATACTTGTAATTTTCAAGTTTTAAAATCAGAAATGGCTCAGATCAGTGTTCTGTAATCCCAGACCTTCAATTACACAAAATTACAGTGCTCAAATTTACTTTCTTCTTTGATTCTTTGCTGTTTTTAATGAAGGGGCACTATCAAAGCATTTCAGCTTACTTGCTGCAGTAAGTGCTCTGAAAAATGACCCATTTAACTTCAGAGCAAGTTTGGCCACATACAGATGCTGAGGACAGCAGCAAGACCCTCCACCTAAATTATTCAAACAGTAAATCTGAATAGAAGAGGTGACCTGTGCAGCCATACAGCTTTTGCTAGGCCTGTATGCTGGAAGAGTTGTCACCTTCATCAAATGTGTTCAAGACTTCCCTTTGGCATACTTGTTGCATTGAAACTGTTCTTCATATAGGAAGACTCCTTAACCTGTGTAACTTCCATGTTTTGTTCTGCTCCACCATAAAATTCAAATTCCTCCTCTCTGTATTCCCTCGGAAGAGTTTCCTTCTTGCTGTTCTGCATCTTTGTTACGTCCATGAATGGCAAGCCCAAAAGCAGAGTGCTTGAATTGTTTACATACTGGAAGGCATGTTCAGGTGACTAGTGTCCTTGACCAGTTTTATAACCTTAGTCCCACTGACAAGCAGGAGACAAGCCTGAGCTAAGACCTGCAGTTCAGTGACCTGTCATGAACACTGAGATGATCTCTGATAGCTTTGTCTGTGTCAAGCCTTTAATTAGCCTCTGCTTTTATACACAACTGCACGAGCCATCACAGCTTTCCTGCTTGCATTTATGCCTCATGAAAACATACAGTCTCTCAAGATGTGCTCCTGACATATGAGCTGGTATTTTCAAAGGGGACCATGATACCTAAACTATTTTCAGAGGAAAATTACTTTTCTAGCTCAACATGCTAAACAAGCCGAGGATGGGGGGAGCCCTTTTGAAAAAAATTGTCTGGTTGCCGTGAGTTTATGTGGAGAACCATATCTTGAGATCTTAGACAATTGCTCTAAACCTGGACAGCAATTGGGGTGGGGAGGGGGAAGAACTCCACACTAAGTGTTAGGGGAGAATATGTTACCTTTATCCTTGACAATGTGGTGCTTTGTGTATGGAATTCAAGGTGGTCAGGCTTGGTGAAGAAGGAGGTAATGAACAAAATGCAAATGATTAAAGTTGTTCAGTGTTATGTGTTGGTATTCACTGAGAAGTTTCTCTTTGTCCATAGGGGATGACTCTGCACAAAAAAGCAGCAGAAGATAGACTGGCTAGTACAGGCTCAGGACAGTCCTTCCTGGCTAGACAAAGGCAAGCCACGAGCACAAGGAGATCTTACCCTGGTCATGTTCAGCCAGCAACAGCAAGGTAGAGAAGCCTTGCCTTTAGAAAGAAAACTGCCCTGTGATCCAGGCCACTTCTGTTGCAAGTGACAACATTCAAGGAAAATAAACCAGCATCCTTTCTCTTTCTCCCTTGTTACTGCTATTATTTTACAGTTCAGGAAAGGGTTTTATTATGGTTTCTCATTGTTCTGTAATGCCCTTTGCTTATATTTTTGAAGTCCATTTCTCTCTCTCTCTCTCTCTGCATTTTTTGAATGTGCCAAAATTTTAAAACCATCTAGAGGAGTGCTGTATCATAACAGTCTTATTTGTATGAAGCCTGGTCTCTTATGAAAAGCCTTATGTGGACCATGTAACAATGTAAATTTCTTGTCACAGTTGGTACTTTTGTGCCATAAGGGTTGCTATGCTTTATATAAGACTGTTCTTGTTCAAAGGGAATTAGGCTTTTTATTTCATGTGCTAACCCGTTGCTTCAGAAAAATGCTGAAATCTCATTACAGAAATGCAAAATTAGAATATAATGTTATTGTGAAATATATTTCCTGCTACAAAACTTACCAATGCAAAAAAGAATGATTTTTTTTTTTTTTTTTAAATCTCCTACGTGCGAAGTTTGTTCTTATTCTTGGCATTTGATAGGGAAGCAGGATGATTTTTTTCAGGTTTTTCTTTATCAACTGGTGTTACCTCTTTTGCTCGTAGAGATGAATATTTTCAAATGGTTTGTTCCACTCTTCTTGGTCAAGTGTACACTTAAATACATATTCTAAAAAAGCGGAGAAATATTTAGAATGCTCTAATACGCTACTGCATCATCCATTTAAAAAGGACATTTGTTTTAAATTTTATAATTATGGATGAGCAACACATAATGGATCAAGGCCCCGATTAATATTGTTAATGTATTCCAGTTGTCATCCCCTACTAAAATACTTGCTTTTAATATATTGATTCTGGGGATAATTGTATCAGTTGCCTTACTAATGGTACCAGTGCCTTCAGGTGAGTTTGTTGCTGACTTTGTTGGAAACTGGCTGTGATTTGTTGTACTGCCTTTTGAGTATGTAGCTTCTTAATTGTTGTAGTACCTTCATGTTCATCAGTGGGGTGGATGGAGGTTCCTCCTATTTAGGTTCTGTTCCTACCAAGTTGTGCTTTTTCTCCTGACTAATTCTCTGCATTCCCTATCATTTTTGTTGAAGAATTTTTGGACACAGAGAACCTGAATATTGGTTGAAACTTCCATATACATACACCTTGTTGTAATTTAGTTTTAAATAGTTTTCGTTTAGAGACTGTTTGGACCCTGATGCACATGCAGTTGGTTTATAAATTTATTCTTTTACCTTATTTTAATGCCCTCCCAAGTGAAGACATTTTGTTATAAATCCCTTTAGAGAAAATACATAGTAGCATTTATTAATCATCTGAATGTCTATGTTAATTCACAAGTTGGGTAGAATGAGCAAAGGATAATTAAAACAAGCACACCTAGATTAAAGGGTAATAAACAGATGAATGACGTTTTTAGGTACTGCTGTTTTATTCTCAAGTACGTGATCTGTTTCAGTCTAGGCTAAGAAATACATTCAGTATGTGTCTAAAAATAATTTTCAGTTCTGGTTATCCACTGCCCCCCGAAAACAGAAACTGAATTCTATTGATTGAATGTAGCTTTACTCCTCACATTTGGAAAAAGACGGTTTTCTAAAAGTTCTCTTTACTTATTCAGGGTATGACAGGTCTGGGCTGTGGTTGCAAGGATTAGGTAAGACATTGCAAAGTTTCTTGTGTGCAGGAAGGTAACAATGTGAAGGAAGTTGAGGACAATTTCTGTAGCTCAGTGAGGTGATACTCATTTTGCTGTCTCTTACTGAGATACAGAATGCTGTGTGTGTTATCTGGCAAGATGACTGCAGTTTTTGTGGGACATCTTTCATTGATCTTGTTGTGAAATGTATTCTAGTAATTTGAAGAACTGTTTGCCACATGCTGTGTGTGAACAGGAGCAAGTAAGATCAGCTGATGTTCTTGTTTGAGATTACAGCATTTTATATCAGAGAAAGAACCTAAGAATACCTAAAGCTTCCTTTTTATTTTAATCTGTCTGGCTTTTTCTGTTACTAAACTGCCAAAGGGTATTTGTGAAAGAAAGGAATGTGACCTTAACGGGAAGCTTTATCTCTTAATTTTGTGTCAAAATTTAATTCCCTATTGCTGTTAATCAGGCACAGGTCTAAAATAACTAGGACATGGTCTACAAACTAGAATAGAATTAGTTGCTTTTATTTTGTTAAACACTTGTTTTACCATTTTGCCTCCAAAGTTTGGATGATTAATTAGGAGATGAACAATTGGTGGTTTTTGGCTTTTCTCTTCTGCTTTGTGATTCTGTCTTTCCTTTTCCCTCAAGATAAGACACTGAAGTGTTTTCTGTAGTTCCCTTCAAGCATATATAGCATCATTATGTAGCATCAAAGAGCAAAACAAGACTAATATTGAATCTAAACTTTCTTGTTACCCACAAGTGATTGTTGGGCAAGTGAACAATCATTATGTCTTTTGAGAATTTACAAACCTGCAGAAATTCTGGTATTTCCCAGAATTTTTGTTGAATATAAAAACCTAAAAATGTACTGCACTCTTACAGAAATATACTTGATTGCTGTCCAGTTCCAGTAAGTCATTTGTTCTGCATTAAGAAATTTAATTCCTTATTCTTTAGCATTTTAATTCTATTACTTGCTGCATACATCCATTGTTAATCTTTGGGTGTGGATGAATGCAAGTGGTAAACATCATTAAACCTCCTCTTTCACAAGAACAGCTTCTTTATTCAAAGGGTTCAAGCTTCATTATTTTCCTTGCTTGTTAATGTAGCTTTGGAAGTAGTGTGGTATTAAGAAAAAGAAGAAGCTCGGGGTGTAACTCCAGGGAATAAACACATATATAGGTGAGCCACCAGTGAATGTTCTTTATTTGTCTTATCTTCAGTAATAAAAGAATATAAGCAATAAACCCAAGCTATAAAACAGAATTCTCTCATTACATTGGATAGTTCTAGAAAGTTTTTAGGGATACTTTTTTCCTGAGGCAATAAAGACTGTTTACATCAAAATTGCTGTGGTAATTGCTAAAGCAATGCTATATCCTGTCCTGATACACTACAGAAAAAAAACAAACCTACAACTGAGCTTGAAGAGAAAAGGTTCTCTAGGGCAGTGAGGAAGCAGCTGAGGAGTTCATGAGAGGACTTTGCTGAGCACTGTGCTGAGGGTCTGCCCAGAATAATCTTTCTGACAGATTTTAATTAATGCCAATAAAAGTTAACAGATAAATGGATGAATATTTTCATTGTTCAGAGCTGAAGCTTAGTTTCTGACCTTAAAGAATGTCTGTGCAGTCCAGTTTGGTATACTTCTGTGGGGAGTTAAGTTGTTAGGGTATCCGATCAGGCATTACAGAAAAAAAATACTCAAGTTCCTTTTCTTGATAGCAACACATAGCCACTTGGATCATAACACGTATTTTCTAAGTGCTAGGAAAACTGAAGTAATCTAATTTAAAGGTTGTGTGTTCCACCCTCAGTGTAAGGGAAAACAAATGTCTGGAGCACAGAGCTTTACACATTGCAAAATGAAATAAATATGTCGTGGCTACAGGATGCCTTTCATTCTGTCTTTGAAAATAAGCAGATGCTTAAATGAGCAAAAGCACTTGTCCTGTTCCAGTGTCACCCGAGTTAGCAGTAATGCTTCTGCAAGTTTTCTGTGGCTTTCTGTTCTGTAAGGGGCACTGGCAATTTTATAATCATTGTGTATGAAAGAATTAACAGTGAATATTCCTATTACTGCTTTATGATGATCTTAAATAGTAAGTGGTATGTGCAAGCTGTCAAGAAAATTTAAAAGGATTTGGCAATTTTAAAGTCCTTGGTATTTTGGCATATGCAGGTAGCTCTTGCTTTTCCTCGGTTCTCTAGTATATTAGACTATACACCTAAAAACATGTAATCATCCTTTCATGGATGAATTTTAGGGGTTTTTTAATTGTCCTAATGTGTTGACATTTTTTTGTAGATTTGGTAGTTGGAAAACATTTTGGTGTCACCGTTTGATTTCCTTCCTGTTAGTGATTTGGAGGAAGACTGTCCTGAATGTGGCTAACTTTTCTTTTTATTATGGAGCAAAACAGGATCTGAATTTTACTTATTGTATAGAGATTTTTTTTTTTTGTTCTTGACCAACATTTTGACTTCTTGCAAGGATTGATGAGGGAGGTATTTTTGCACTCAAAGTCAGCTATGCAGTACTGACTTCTTATGGGTTTTTGCACACGTGTTTTAGGTAGAATGTGGACTCTGTGTTTTGCTTTAATACTGTGTGAATAGCTTCAATATCTCCAAACCAATTTTAGCAAATTTTGCAGGTGTTTTCCTCAACTGTTATTGCATAAATAAATAGCTAAAAAAGTTTACTATGTCAGAATATACTTTCAAGTCATGGGGTTTTTTTTTTTGGAGCAGCCGTGAGACTCTAGGTAGGATCCCAGCCATGCCTCCAGTTTGTCACTTTTAAGGAATCAAAGAAATATCTTGGCATGAATGATGTGCATTGCCTTACTCCTGTGATCTTTCTTCCCTCTGGAAGTCTGGAAAAGTAGCAGAAGCTTGTCAGTGACCCTGCAGGCTATTACTGAAAATAAGGTGTGATTTTTTTCAGTTTGAAAATGGAGGAGACAGATGCAAGCAACTGTTCAGTACAAAAATGGGAAGAGCAGTGTATCTTTCACCATTTTGCATTTTGGTGTTAATTTTAAAAGTAGTGAGAAAGAACCTTTGCTTTTTGAGCTAGGTTTTTCTCCTCTTTTTTTTTTAATTAATTTTTAATTTTAACTGATTATTTAATTTTAACTGATTACTTAATCAGGGCAGAAACTGTCATCGCCAGCCAGAGCAACCTCAGACTTCTTGCATCTGGTACGGTGAAACCCTGGAAATTCTGACTCTGCTGCCAGCTCCACTGTACCATTTGGAATTGTTGAGGACTTAGCTTTGTCCTCTGTTTTATCTTGACTTTATTTTTGTGGATTCATTAAAATATTGGGACATAAAGGTCATTTTTAAAATGTATCAGCTCATTGAATTAGGTAATGAATGAGTGTTGATTGAGGGGCTTTAGAAAACTTGACAAATCCCATGGTGCAGCGATATAGCCAAGCCAGTTTTCCAGACAAATTGTCCTGGTGTCAGATTATAGTCAGTGGATCATCAGGAACTCATACTAACTGCTACAGCTGAAGTCCTCATCTATTAGTTGCTGGGGGATGGTGTTGGTGTCAACTTCACTGAGGCCCAGACTGTAACCTTCACCTTTGGGCCTTACCAAGGTAGTGAAGGACTATCTTGAAATATATCTCTGTTTTAGTTGGCTCTGGTGGCAAATCAGGAATTTCCTCTGCTGCTGTTTGCTGTGTGTGTGAAGTCATTTGGAAAATTAAATATCCTTCAATCCCCTTTACATTGTGTGCCAGTTCCAGACTGGAAGCAGATTCCATTTGTCGGATAAAAATTTCTTGCTCCTGTTCTGCTGACTTGGATCTCAGACTGATCCATACAACATGAAAAATATTGTTAGTAGAGGGAAATCTAGGACAATTGGGAAGCCTCTCCTTTCTGGTGGTGACTTTATTCATTGTTTTGCATTAGAGAGGTCCTAATGCAAAGGGCTGAAGTTAGAATAGCATATTTCAGAAGGAGGAACGTGCTTGTTTTAGTCGTTACAAAAGCAGTCATCTGCCAACACTTTGAGGAAATGTTAACCTACCATAGCATGGCACAAACTAGAAACACTGCAAAAGCAAGGGTTTCCCCAGGTAAACAGCAGTTTGTTATCCAAAACCCCAATGATTATACCTGCCTTAAAGGCCAGTTGTTCTCTTGCCCTGCTCGTCTTGTTAGACTGATCATGAAAATGAGCAGGATTTTAAGAGAAAAATACCAAATGATGTAATATTTATGGGGCTATAAAATAGTCGTAATGAGACCATCAGATTTTTTATTTGGATTTGAATGTAACATCAGTTATGTAATTTGAAATTTTGTAAAGCAAGAGATTATTATTTTCAGTCACCAAAGAAGAGTAAGCCAGAGAGTAAACTTATTTCCTGGAGCCATCGGTGGTTTTGAGAGAGATTTTAAAGCTTTTATTTAGAAGTATAGGTAAAGTTTGGGAATAGGTATAAGGATTACATTATAAAGCCACAATTTTTAAAATTTGTAGTCTGCTTTCTATTCTCTCTGTCATTCCTCCATAGACACACATTATCTGCTGTATAAACTCTCTCTTTCTGAAGATGCTGGAGATGCAGTGACAGGTTATGCTCAGTGAATTTACCCTCACATCTTGCATCTCTCTTGTCTTCTGAAGTGTTGCTGCCTCGACAGGTAGCTTTAAAATAGAGAGAAAGAAGTTGACAGCCAACTTTTTTTTTAGAACAAGATTAGAATTTTTAGTCAGGAAAGGGCACTGACAGATGACTTTTTTTACATCCTTGAAAGATAATACAGTGTCCTGAGTTTACAAGACCTCTCAAAAGTACTATTTACTCGAAGAGGAATCTCCAGTGTCACTTCCTGTGTGCAACAGGGCACTTGAAGTGCTACTAAATAGTGAGTCTGAACTAAATAATAGCCAGGTGAGACTAAAGGAGTAGATTATATTCATTTATGCACAATAGAATAGGTACCTGCTTATGTAGCTTGAACTTATAATTTTTTGTAGAACAACTACAGTGATCTTCATATTATTAATCCTGAACTCTGTAACTTTATGCACCCAAGCAGTGCCAAGCAAGCTTAACAGACAGTGATTGCTCAAAATACGCCCTCAAGGTCTGCTTCGAATGTGTTAAATTTTTTATTCCACTTGATACATGTTTCTATGTTTCTGTTTGTTTTTCGTCTATAGTTAGTATTCTGGGTGGATGAATGAGAAGGGAAAAAAGAGGGATACACAAGCTGCAGGACTTGTAGCAGCTTTGTCATAAATATTCTTTCTTCTCTATTTAACCTGGACTTTCCCATCACAAGAAGCATTCTTAGAATCATTTATGACCAGTGCAATACAAGGGAGAAGGAACTGAGGAGAGAAACAGGCTCTGACTTCAGTCTGGAGAAGCCAGTTTGCTCTTTGCAGTGCAAAGACCCAAATGCCCATTCAGTGCTGTGCCAATGCTGTGTAGGGACATCTGTGCCCTGGGGAAGCTGAAAGCACCATGGCTGTGTCAGTAAAGCAGTCCATTCTGGTCACAATGCCCAAGAAAGAGGGTGCATCAGTAAGGATGGAGAAATATGTCAGCCTCTCCAATTCTCTTCCGAACTTCTGCAGCATTGTGATGTGCTCTTTGGACTGTTCAGTGGCTCCTACTCAGCTTTACTTTAACAAGAGTACATATCATTTTCTTGCAATTCCAACCTGTATTTGCCTGCAGTAAACAGAACTTGCCAGTGCAGCACAGCAGTGATGCTGAGTTGTAGCCTCATGCACCAGATGAGCTCTGATGAAACATAAATGCCTGAAGTCTTCAGTGGTGCTCAGAGTTGGAAGACTCAGACAGTCATTGTGACCCTGATTGTCTTTTCATACGTAACCACGAGCAGTGTTGGACAGGCACCTTTCACTTTATATTGCTTTGGTTCTTTAACTGTTGTACTCACAGACAGCAGGAATGCCTGAGACTCTTTCATTGCTGTGTAAATCTAGTTTCCATAGCTGTAGTAGCTGAGAATGGTGCCCTGAAGGACTTTACTCAGAATTGTTTAAATTTGTCTGAATTACAGCTAAATTTAGATATGGCTCGAGGCTGTTTTGTTGCTTTTTCCAGTTATTGGCCTGTAACCTTCCTGTTAATTTGAAGAGTTGCTCTGGCAAAAATGTTTTCCCATGAGTTTGCACCACTCTTGAGACAGCCTTACTAAACTGCTCTGAAAAATACCTGTTCTATTCTCTGTTGTTTTTTTTTTCAACAGTAATATGTTATCTGCTTTTTAACTTTCTTCTTTATTCTTTTATTTGCAGTGATGTGGTTGCATGACCTGCAGCATTATTATAACAGGGACTGTTCAGTGCATGACTTGCTTTTCTGTCCAGACTGCATAACCAAAACTTAACCAGTTCTACACTTAAGACTCATGGCCATCCGATTTCAAAGGGGGATCTACTTGCAGAGAAGCTTACCATCCTGGGAAGTGGCTTTCCCATTTCCCGCTTCCATTTACTCTTTCTCTTCACAAAAGGTCTCCTATGAGGCTAGAAGAGAGGAAATCCAGTATTCACAACTCAACAGGAGGCATTCTGCAAACTGACAGAGCACTGTCAGCTCTCCATCTTATTTCCGCCTGTCCACTTTATTTAATTCTGATTAACAGTATTAACACACAGACTTCCTGCAACATTTTCATATACTGAACTATAAAAATCTAGTCTTAATGAGTTCCTAAAAAGGCCTTTTGGTTACTGTTAAAATTTCAAAGCACCTGCACCCTTAAAGGATCCACTTTGAATCTTTAAATAAATAAAGTAAAGCGAAGGAGGTGTTTTACCAGGAGAAATGACTAATGAGTTGCTGCTTGGCGATCCCATCTTCCTTAGAAAACCAAGCAAGTTTCATCTGATAATCTCCGAGCCAGTCAAACTACCGGGTGGTATTTTGTTCACAGGCACTGCCTGCTTCCTTAATATGTATATACACAGTAGTTTGTGGCTGTTGTATTTTTCTCTCTACATTGAGCTGTATTGTTCGTTTATATCAGAAACTTTTTTTTTTTTTCCAATCTGTGTACAATTGTTAAAACAATCTGAGGAAAGAACATGAATGGAGATAAGTATGAAAGTCATCTACACTTTCATATTATGCAGACTGTCCTTGCCAGTTTATAATTTGGGTCGTTTGTCTCTCACCTGTACTGGTTTTTTTCCTTTCCTTTTTTTTTTTCTCCTGTCACAGTCTTAGCTATTTAATTTCCAATTGCACTAGCTTGGCTTTTCTTTGTATTATGAAGTTTAGCTATAAGATTTGCCATATGTAGACAGTGTAACTCAAAATGCTTTGTACTGCCTATATTAATTTAAAAAGCTGCTTATTTAATATTCTTAAAGATCTGCACATTTGTACTACTGTATCTTTGTTTTGTATTGGACATCCAGTACTGGCAAGATTCAGAAGACGAGGGAGTGCTGTAGTGTTGTAAGTTAAGAGGTTTATTGTGTAGAAGTTAGTACATAACAAACAGGGAAAGGGGCTTTCAAGCCGTAGGACTTGCTGGAAAATCTGAAAAGAGTCTGAATGCTGAGAACGTTAAGTCCAGTTCTAGGGAAACCCCATTCTTGTTCACCTGGATCTTAATCTGCAGAAACCCAAGCATGATATGTACTCTGCTGCCTCCAGGAATGGTTTTGCTTATTTAGGCGGTAGCAGAACCACCAGCCCTGTTTTCCAGGCTGAAGAAGTGTTGTGTCCACTCATCTCCGCAGTCCCTTCTGGTCACAAACTCAGTTCCTGCCTCATCCCTGGCCTGTCAAACAGGGCTCTGGACAGAGCCGGAGCTTGTGCGCCGAGACACCTGCCTGTGCTCAGTCCTCAGGGATCCTGATCCCACAGAGTCAGTGGGCTCGTGCAGGATGATGTGGAGGAAGGACAGACTGTGTGCCCCCCCAGAGGGGCTGTGGTTGGTGCTGCCTGGCAAAGGGAAGGGCAGGTAGGAATGGGCTCCAAGCAGACCAGGCAGGACAGCGAAGGATAAGCATTAAGATCCCAGTGAGAACTGTGTGGTGTTTTCCCTTCTGAATGCCATACCTGACAGGTGAGCCTGTGGCTACCAGGTGCTCTGGCTGGCAGCTGTCCGTAAAGACTTCAGATGGGGATATGTCTTTCCTGGTCCACCAGGGCCAGGGACAGTGAAGTCTGACGTGACCTGCAGCCAGGATCTGGGGTTTGGTGATAACGAGTCAGCTATTCCTACAGCAGAGGCAGCAGCATTTCGTCAGACTGAGTCAGCAGATTTGTGTCCTTCCAGGTCCTAGCCATTGATCCCTTGTTATGTGTCAGGGCAAGCATTACTAGTAAAACTTCTTTTAGTTGGGTGTTAAAGGCATGGTATGTTTTTCATTTGCAAGTGCTGCTCCGGCTGGGACCACACCCTGCCCCAAGCCAGGCTGGGTGCAGGATCCCTGAAATCAGGGCTCTGTGCTGGGCGGGAGGGGATGCTTTTTTTTGTGCACCCGCCTGCACAGGTGTCCCAATGTGAAGCCGAGCAGTACCTCATTTCTCCAAGTGGTCTGTGCAGATTAGAGACTAAATATCAGTTGTTCTTGAGCCTTGATGACATTTGTATGTAAGTGTGTTTAGCTTGACAAAAGTTGTTTGAGTTTACTAATGCAACAGAGAGATGTCAGGTGAAGCCAGTAACTTTCAGCAAGGAGCTGGCTACTTTAATTAGATTAGCCTGGCATCTCTGTCATGAAGTGGTTGCAAGCTCTCAACTCAGAGGTGATCTCCAGCATGTCTCTGATTACTAACTTCATTTGTGCTGCATAGAAAACTCTCTTACCTTCTTAATAGCGGCTTGTTTGACAGTCCTGAATTAAATGTTGACCAATTATCAAAGTAACTGTTTGTGAAGTTGCCAGTGATATATTTTCTGTAAAAAAATGGATTCGTAGAGTGTCAAAACATTAATTTCCCATTTGAGTTCATCAACAAATTGTGTAACTACCAGATTGTCATGGTAGCAGTATTAATATACATACCTGTATATAGACAAAAAAAGTACTCAGTAATGATAATTGGAATCAAAAGGTTTAATATTTTTTCCCAGTCAAATACACTAATGCTTCAAAGGTGATAGAAGAGTGTACAGTTGTTAAACAAGTTGTAAATAAACGCTTATATAAAATGTAAATGCTTATTTGTCCTTTATTTGGTACTTGATTGTAAACTGAGACCAGTGCACAGTTTGTGTTAGAAGTTACTGGTTTGAGCGTAAAGTGCTGTTCTGCTGTGTGAGATGGCACCAGCTGGTGGTTAACAGGGACCCCAGTGGAGTGGGAATAACATGGATAAAACAAACCTTGCCCTCAATGCACTTAGAAGCAGGTACTACAGAACAGCTGGGGGAAAAAAATCAGACTTTTTTACAAAGCACAGCTCTACCTGGGCAGCTTTGGTGTCAGCTCGTCTGAGTCTTACACAGAGAAGTGGCATCATGGAAATACATTTCCTGGGGCTCTGCAGAGGAAGGTGAGGGGAAGGTGGGCAGCAGCCTCAGAAACAACAAACCCCCTGACTTTTGCTGGGAAGCATCCCACCTGGCTGCTGAGGTGCACGGCGCAGTTTGCCTCTCAAAGGGCCAAAGCTAAGTGACCAAAATAGACAATTTTCCTGTGCCAATGGAAGCTTCACAACAGGTGTAGCTAAAGGGGGGTGGGGAAAGACATTGCTCATGTGGACAGAAACAACTGTCCTTCCTTTCTGCACTGGTGAGCAGCTCTGGCATCTGGGAGAGGAAGAGGTGGTGGTCTCAGACACGGGCAAACTTTGATCTTTGTGAAAGAAAAGGCAACAGCCACCAAGAGATACTGAGCCTACAAGTGTTGTGGTGCTGGGGTGGAGAAAGCTGTGCAAAGGCCCCTTCAGGGGCTGCTCTGTAGAAGGAAGAGGAGAGCAGAAGCATGAGGGTGGCAGCAGCAGTAACAGGAGAGCAGAGGCTCAGAGTGGGCCCAGTTTGCTGGCTGGGAAGGGCAGGAGAGCCCCAGGGCTGGTGGCCAGCTTCTCCTGGGCCACAGGGATGGTAGAGGCAGGAAGCTGCCACAGCCTCACTTCTACCTGCCAGGGATTCACTCTGGTCCTCTGCCCTCCTCCGTCCCACCCCAGTTACCTCTTCATCTTGGGCATGACTGTAGTGTCTCCTGCCTCTGACCACCGTTCCCTCTGCCTGTCCAGTTGTTTCCCACACTGTCAACTTCTCCTAACTTTTCCTATACATTTTTTTCCCTTCCCAGTTCCCCCACCCCCCAGTGTGCCGAGACCCACATCAGCATCCCTTGTTCTGGCCTCCCCTCCCCATCAACTCCCGCAAGGCCAGCACTGCCTCCCTTATTTTTCACATGGTATAGGGGGGAACTGAGGCCCACTCACCTTCATCCTACCCCTCCACTGTTGCTGGCCCAGCAGGGAGGATGCAGCAGTGCAGGTCATCTTCCAAATGGCACCTCTCCTACACCCCCCACAGCTGCAGGGCCCTGCTTTTACCACCACATCCTAAGTGTGCTTATCCTTGTGTTGTGTTGGATATCGCAGGAGGCAAAGGCCACTGCTGTGTTAAAGGCTGTGTGGTGGAAGCACACTCCAGAAGCTGCATGGTTCCCCCCTACCGTTCTCCTTTTCCATTTTTATCCATGAGTAACTTTTGAACACCTGTGCTGGACGTGTAAGTACCTGCAAATAAATCTTTGTGCAGAGGCCAGCACGTTTGTACCTGCTGTGTTTGGAAGGCAGGAGCCAGCAGCAAGCTTGGAGGAAGGGCTGTACGAGACTGGCTGCAAGGACTGCAGGGCTGCCAAGGAGGGGAGGGCATGGTCACTCTGCCTCCAGCACAGGACACAGCACCGCAAAGGGGGGTTCCACCAGTGCTGGGCATCCGTACTTCGCTCCTGTTCCTTAGGAGCTGAACTGAAACAACAGCCTCAAAACAGCAAAGTGTCCTTTTGGCAAAGCAGGCAGACCAGAAGTGAAGGTCAGCTACGTCAGGGAAAAGATTCAGTGATGTAACTGGAAAACTCTTCACATACTGAAGGTACCCAGTGCTTTCCTGGTTTAGGTCTTCCGAGAGCCCCAGGAGCCAGTGGCACCTCTCTGCCTCCAGGGCCTTCTGACTGGTGGCACGGAATTGCCTTTACTCCTTTACAACAGACACGTCTCACCTGCAGGTGTGCACACATCTGGATGTTTGGTTTCTGTGCCAAGCTACGCTGTCAACAAGCTAACAGGGAGCACAACTCCGTGCTGAGAAGGGAGGTCTTGCAAACCCACCCTGAGCTAAGGGCAGAGAATGGAACCTCCCAACTTCCCTGAACAGAACCAGCCCCCCCACCCTCTCAGAGTCCCAGGAAACTGATGAAGGCAGTCACCACAACCCCAAGTAAAACGTGAGGTGGATGCAAGCTAAAATGCATTTTCACTATCACACGTGATGTCTTTCTTTGGCTTTGACCCAAACAGAAAAAAAACCCCACCAGACCTCTGATTAAAACAGATCACAAGATACAAAAACAGACCAGAGTGATATTCCAAACAGCTTTTCAGACTTGCTCCCACCTTTAACACCCTTGTTCCAATCCCTTCAACTGTTATGAAGTATTGGAATGACTGTATGCCCTTCTCTCTGCCCCAGAGAAGGCTCTTTGGCAGCCCTTACCAGCCGGAGGCTGCACTGGAATGAAGGCTGGCACGGGCTCTGCTGACAGAGCAGCTCTGGTGTCCCACCAGCAGCTGGGGGGTGCCCTGGGGGTGCCTCTGCCCGCTCAGTGCAGGGGCACAACTCCAGGCCCAGCACACCCCCTGTGAGCAGCTCGGGGTGTGCCCACGGGCAGTCAGGCTCCCCTTGGCTCGTCAGTAACACTGCCTGTTCCCAGGAATTTCTGCTGCCTAACAAACTGTTTTCTAGCTAGTAGCCTGGGAAACTCATTTTTGTCTGAATCACAGCAGAGTGAAACAATACTATTGTTACTGGACTTTTGAGGAAAATTGTTGACCTGGACTGAGGCCAGGATGGAAACTGATGGATGACTGAAGCCAAGCATTTTGCAACCCTATGAACAGGGATCCCAAATGAGGCCCTTTGAACTCCCCTGGGCCACAGTGGCTGTGCCAGCACCTCTCTTGGAGCAGGATGCCTCTGGGAGCTCGTCAACCCACAGGTCTGAGAGCCCTACAGCAAGTGTAGCATCAACGTTGTCATCTTAGAGTCATAATTAAGCTACTCTTTTGCTTGTAGTAAATCCTATTGAGTAATTCTGTGAGTGTTAAATTACTCAGTGATTAAGTGCTGCCAAATCCTTTAGGCATAAACCACTGAGCAATTCCAAGGCTAAGTTTGGCAAGGGGGCTCACTCTGAACCTCCCGACTCAATGGGAGTGCATTCTCCATCCTTACCCTTTTGCATCCCCAGTCTCTGTGTACATTGTTCCAGTTTGACTCCAATCAAATTCTCCTTTGTGTTTCTATCTATGTAGTAACAGAGTGAACGCGGCCACAGAATTTTTTTTGTATCAAAATTGCTTTTGCTGGTACCTTTGCCAGTGATTCTTTAAGTGACCTTAATCACCCCTTCACAATACAGGTTTCACTGCATCCAAGAACTGTGCAAATGCCAAGTACTAAGGCTCCCTTTTCTGGAAGAGTGGTGTCCATGTGGTGTACTGGGAAGTAGTTTGGGGGTTGTCTTTTCTGCCCCCTCACGTGGAAGAATAACCAACCCTCTACAGGAGTCTGCTGCAAAGCTGCTGCTGGCTGTTTTCACTGTAGCCCAAAGCACCCTGAAAATAAATGTTTTGGAAATACCCCACAAATACTAGCCTGACAAAGCTTACTCTGAGAAAGAAAAACACTTCCCCACAAATAGGAATTGGCAGACTACTCAAATAAATACCTTCCAAGTAGCCATTTTGTATTATTTTTAAACCTAAAAAACACTCAAAACCTCCACCCCCAAACAACTGAAGATTTGTACGAGCTGATGTGATGCTCGAGGATACCTTTAAACCCAAGTCAGCATACATTCAGTCTCTAAGTAAGCATGGGTAGTACGGGTTTGCATCCCCTTCAAAGCAAGCAGAGTGGAGTCTGGAAGTCATGCAATCCAAGTATCCTCTGGAGACCAGCCATACACCAATACAAAATAACACCACACCTGAGAAGAGCCTCTTTTAAATGCATCTTGGTCTGTGCAATCTTGAATTCACCTACCTGTGAAGAGTTTAGGACTACGTACTTCATCACTGGCCAAAGCGTCTGGTTTCAAAACATGCTTATGTAAATCACTCAGGATGTCTACACGAATTGATTTTGTGTTGGAATATAACAGCTGGAATTAAAAACAGCTGCAGAAATTTCTAGAACAGAACTGTCTGCATGATACATCAAAACCAAAGAAAATCAACTGAACAACAGTCTTGAAAATGCTTTATTGAACCGTCTGTCTTATTGTAATGTGCAGAAGATGTGTTTGAAAAACTACAGCTTGAAAAATTTTTGAAAATCCTCAACAATCAATCAATAAAAAAAGTCCCTACTGGGGGTAACTCTCAGGATAACCAGAGGCCGCATGTAAAGTTTCCCTTGAAACATTTTCTGTTGCAGAGACAAAAAAAAAAAAAAAAAAAAACCACAAAAAACCCCAACAAAGCTAGTGCTGCTCTACATGGAAACAATCAAGATTTGATGATTTAAAAAAAAAAAAAAAGGAGGGAACTTAAAGTTCAGTCTATGGGGTTGTTTCTTTTGCTGCTGTTATTTTGGATTAGCATACATGTCACAGTTTTGCTGAGAACACCACACGGTGTCCAAGTCTGTACGTTTACTCTACAATGCTGCTGAGAAGGGAGGATACAGAGAAAGAGAGAGGGGGTGAGGTGAGAGATCTGGAAAGACACCATTATGATATAAGCCTAGTTTAAATTTTCATCAGAAGCTGTGTGCACTTTTGTTTTTATAATGTAACTTTACATTCAAAAAACCCCACACAACCAAAAAAAAAAAAAAAAGAAAGAAAGAAAGAAAGAAAAAACCAAAACCAAACATACCCCTGTCCTTGCCTTGGGGCTATTATAAATTTCTATGCACAAGAACACCATACTCTTTTTTTTTTTTTTTCCTCAAACCAGTAGGGTTAACAG